AGCATAAAGTTGGATCAGTAGTGACAGCAAGAATATTTAACAATCACACACATGTATGCATCTAACAACAGACCATTAAAATATATGAAGCAAAACTGGCAGAACTGAAGGGAGAAACAGAGAGTTCTATGATAATAGTTGAAGACATCAATGACCCATTCTCAGTAGTGGATGTAAAACAAGACAGGAGATAAACGAAATGAAGACTTGAACAACACAGTAAGTCAACGAGATCTAACAGATGAACACAGAACACTCTACCCAACAACAGCACATTCTCTAGTACATGTGGGACATTTTCTAGAGTCAACCATATGTGAGGTCACAACACATCTCAGTAGATTTTTAAAAATAGAGATCATACAAAATACTTCTTTGACCATAACAGGATGAAGTTAGAAATAATTAACAGAGATAAAATCAGAAAATTCACAAATTGATGGAAACTCAACAACATACTCTTACACAACCAGTGGATCAAAGAAGGAATTAGAAAATACTCTGGGGTGCCTGGGTGGCTCAGTGGGTTAAGCCTCTGCCTTCGGCTCAGGTCATGGTCTCGGGGTCCTGGGATCGAGCCCCACATCGGGCTCTCTGCTCGGTGGAGAGCCTGCTTCCTCCCTCTCTCTGCCTGTCTCTCTGCCTACTTGTGATCTCTCTGTCAAATAAGTGAATGAAATCTTAAAAAAAAAAATACTCAAAGATGAATGACAACAAGAATGCTACATACCAAACATGGGATGAACAAAAGCAGTGCTAAGGGAGAGATTTATAGCTGTAAAGGCTCATGTTAAAAAATGAGAAAGACCTCAAATAAACAGGCTAACTTTACAATTTAGGGAATTAAAAAAAAAAAGAACACAATAAACCAAAAGCTACTAGAAAAAAGGAAATAATGAGGATTAGAGCACAGATAAACAAGATAGAGAATAGGAAAAAAAAATAGAGAAAATCAATGAAACCAAAACTTGTTTCTTCAAAAGATCAACAAAACTTATAAAACTTGGGGAGCCTGGGTGGCTCAGTGGGTTAAAGCCTCTGCCTTCGGCTCAAGTCATGATCTCAGGGTCCTGGGATCAAGCCCCATATCAGGCTCTCTGCTCGGCGGGGAGCCTGCTTCCTCCTCTCTCTCTCTGACTGCCTCTCTGCCTACTTGTGATCTCTCTCTGTCAAATAAATAAATAAAATAAAATTTAAAAACTGACAAAACTTGACCTAGATGGGGGCTAAACAAACAAACAAACAAAAAGAAGAAAGAAAACTGAAATTACCAAAATCGGAAATGAAAGTGAGAGCATTACTATTGACTCCATAGGATCAGAATGATTTACAAGAAACTGCTGTAAACAGCTGTACACCAACAAAGTGGGTAATGGTGAAATGGGCAAATTCCTAGACACTAGCAAGACTGAATCAAGAAAAAGAAAGTCTTGGGGGCTCTTGGGTGGCTCATTTAAGTATTTGACTCTTGATTTTGGCTCAGGTCATGAACTCGGGGTTGTGAGACCGAGTCCCGCATTGGCCTCTGCACTCAGCAGAGAGTCTGCTTGCGATTCCCTCTCTCCCTTCCCCTCTGCCCCTCCCCCCACTCACATGTTCTCTCTCTTTCTCAGAAGAAGAACAAGAAGAAGAAGAAGAAGAGAAAGGGGAAGGGAGAGAGGGGAGGGGAGTGGGGGAGGGGAGAAGTCTGAACAGACTGATAACAAATAAGGAGACTGAATCAGTAGCCAAAAATATCCTGATGAGAAAAGCTTATAAGAAGATGGCTTCCCAGATTAATTATATCAAACATTTAAAGAAAAATGAATACCAATCCTTCCTATACTCTTCCAAAACTCACAGAAAGAAGCAACATTCTCAGACTCCTTGTATGAGGCCAGTATCATCATCCTGATACCAAAACCAAACAAATCACTGCAAGAGAAGAAAACTAGTCCCCTATTCCTTATGAACATTGATGCAAAAAAATCCTCAACGAAATACTAATCAACTGAATTCAGCAAAATAGCAAAAGGATCACACACTATGATCAAGTGGGATTTATTCCTGGGATGCAAACATGTTTCAATGGAAAAAATTGATCAATAAAACACACTACATTAATAGAATGAAGAAGGAAAAAATGGTCATTTCAGTTGATGCAGGAAAAGTATTTGGCAAAATCCAACACTCTTTCATGGTCAAAAACACTCAACAAACTAGAAAAAGAAGCAAACTACCTCAACATAATAAAAGCCATGTATGAAAAATCCTCATCGTGCTCAACTGTGAAAGACTAAGGCCTTTTCCTCTAAGGTCAGGAATGAGGCAAGGATACTCACTTGTGCTTTTTCTATTGAACATAGCTTTGGAAGTTCTGGCAGAGTAATTAGGCAAGAAAAATAAATAAAAGGCATCCGTATTGTAAAGGAAGAAGTAAAATTATCTCTGTTTGAAGATATGGTCTAACATGTGGAAAAACCTAAATATTCCACCAAAAAAAAAAGCTAGAACTAATAAATGAATTCAGCAAAGTAGCAAGATACAAAGCCAGCACACAAAAATCAGTTGCATTTCCATACATTAACAATGAACAATCTGGAAAGGAATTTATGAAAACAATTCCACTGACAATAAAATTTTTTTTAAAAAGGTAAAATACTTAGGAATTAATTTAATCAAAGAGATATAAGATTTGTACCATGAAAAGTACAAAACATTGCTGAGAGAAATGAGACACAAATAAATGAAAAGACAGCCCATGTTCATGGATTGGAAGGCTTAATATTTTAAGATGTCAATACTACTCAAAGTGATCTACTGATTCAATACAATGCCTATCAAAATCCCAGAGATATTTTTTTGCAGAAATAGAAAAACCCATCCTAAAACTTATACAGAATATTGTGGGATCTCATGGGAATAGGAAAAACAACCTTGAAAAAGAACTGGAGGACCCACATTTCTGGTTCCAAAACTTACTACAAAGCCACAGTAATTAAAAGACAGTGATGCTGGGGCACCTGGGTGGCTCAGTCATTTAAGCATCAGACCTTTGGTTTCCACTCAGGGCATGATCTCAGGGTCCTAGGATTGAGCCCTGTGTTGGACTTCATACTCAGCAAGGAGTCTGCTTGAGATTTTCTCTCTCTCTCTCTCCTTCCCTCTGTCCCTACCCTCTGCGCACACACACACACACACACACACACTCACTCTCTCTCTCTCTTTCTAAAATAAACAAATAAATCTTAAAAAAAAAAACACCACAGTGATGCTGACATGAAGTCAGGCATAGAAATGAATGGAGTAAAATAGAGTCTGGAAATAAACCCTCATATGTGTGGCCAAATGATTGTCAACAAAGGGGTCAAGGCCATTCAATGGGGAAAGGACAGTCTTTTCAATAAACAATGCTGGAAAAACAGGATGTCCACATGCAAAGGAATTAAGTTGGTCCCTTACCTAACAGCATATACAAAAACAAACTCAAAATAGATCAAAGACCTAAATATAGGATGTAAACCTATAAAACTCATAGAAGGAAACAGGGCAAAAGCTTCACAACATTGTATTCAGCAATGATTTTTTGGATCTGACCCAAAAGGAATAAGCAACAAAAGAAAAAATAGATGGGACATCAAGAAAATTAAAGTTTTGTGCATCAAGGGTGACTGGGTGGCTCAGTCTGTTGAGCGTCTGTCTTCAGCTCAGGTCATGATCCCAGGGTCCTGGGATCCAGCCCCGTGTTGGGCTCCCTGATCAGTGGGGAGCCTAATTCTCCCTCTCCCCATCCCTCTCCCCCTGTCACTCCCCATTCTGGTGTTCACTCCCTCTCTTGTGCTCACTCTCCCTCTCAGATAAATAAATCAAATCTTTTTTTTTAAGATTTTATTTATTTATTTGACAGACAGAGATCACAAGTAGGCAGAGAGGCAGGCAGAGAGAGAGGAGGAAGCAGGCTCCCCGCCGAGCAGAGAACCTGACACGGGGCTCGATCCCAGGACCCTGGGATCATGACCTGAGCTGAAGGCAGAGGCTTTAACCCACTGAGCCACCCAGGCATCCCTGAAATCTTTTTTTTTTTAATTAAGTTTTGTGCATCAAAGATGCTATTAACAGAGTAAAAAGGCTGCCTACAGAATGAGATAATTTTCAAATTATATATCTGACAAGGGATTAATATCCATATTATATAGACAACTAAAATTCAACAACAACGACAAAAAAAAAACTCAGTTCAAACTGGACAGAGGACTTGAACAGACATGTTTTCAAAGAAGACACACAGCTGGACACCAAGCACATGAAAAGATGCTAGCCATCACTCATTGCTGGGGAAATGCGAATCAAAATTACAATGATATACCACATCTGTTAGGAGGGCTACAGTCAAAACAAACAAACAAAAAACATAAAACAAGTGTTGGGGAGCACATGGGAAGATTGGAAGCCTTGTGCCCTGCTGGTGGGAATGTAAAATGGTACAGCTTTTGTTGAAAACAGGATGGTAATTCCTCAAAAGCTTAAAAATAGATTTATCTAATGATTCAGCAACTCCACTTCTGGGTATATATCTAGAAGAATTGAAATCAGGCTTTCAAAGAGACATTTACACACCATGTTCATGGCAACATATTCACAGTAGCTAAAATACAAAAACCAACCAAGTGTCCATTGGTGGATGAAAGGATGAGCATAGTGGAATAGATCCTCGAAATGGAATACTATTCAGCCTTCAAAAGGGAAGAGCGTTCTTTAATATAGGATCGCAGGCACGTAGCAGGCATGGCTTAAATAAGTTTTTTCTTCTCTCTGAAGTTATTTTAAACTGTATTGGTATCTCTTAATATTAAAAATAAAGTTTGTCTAAGAGTCCAGAGCGACGTGTCACTGGTTCTGGAACTGTGGACAAGCCTCTGCTCTCTGAGCCTCAGGGTCCTTGTCCATGACACAAGGGAGACTCCATCTTCAGGGCCTTTGTATTCTGATCCCTCCTCCAGTTTTCCCCATGCCTCAGCGATTCCAGACACTTCCATGGAACTGTAATTTATAAACTTGGTAGGTACCATCCTATGAGGGTCAAGTCTTTTCCTGGAGCCACATGGGACTGAGCTCCTGCCCTCCACACACTGCTGGAAGGAAGCAGAGAAGAGAGGAAGGATGTGATAAGAGCCTGTGGGATGGAGGGTTCCCTACAGGTCTCCACTGGAATCCCACTCCCACTCATCCTCAACAAAGCCAACCACGCTGATGGCACCCAGCTGCCTTATTGGTGACCGTCGAGGGGAGCAGCCTGAGGCGGACATCAGTGAGGGCTGAGGGCCCTGGCCCTGGTATTCTGTGGCCCACAGAGACCTCCAGATGATGGGGCTGGTGACACAGGATTATGTCTTCTTAATCACACTGTATTGTGTCTCCTCGTCCAGGGTCCTCTGGGAGCGAATGCTGTTGGCCTCAGAACCCCCACTCTGGAAGTCAAATACCACTGTCGAGTAGTGAGGTTTTTCCCTGTGAGCCTTCTGCAGAGAGAGAGACGGGTAGCTCAGAGAGAGAAGCATGGGCCCCCAGCTCAGGATGGAGACAGGGGATACCCAAGGGGGAGGGGGCTTATGGCAGGGGGCCTTCATCGGGGGGTCCAGACTTCTTCACTGTCCTGTTCACACCCCTACTTCACCCCACCTGTGAAAACACAGCACAAAGTCCCAGGCATCAGACCCAGACGTGGACAAGGGGCTTGGCGGGGTAGGGGTGGGGAGTGCCTGGGATCTACTTTGAGATCATTAATCCCCAAATTAGAAAAACAAGAAACTCTTGTTCTCCCCGAACTCTTTCACTAGCAGGTGGGTCTTGACCCTGGGGCTGCGGGGTGGGGGGACCTCTTCCATCTTTCACTTTACAGTCTCTGTACCTAAGTGTTGACCAACAGGGGGGGTCATTGATTCAAAACCCGAAAAGCAGAGTTGATACCAAAAAGATGATGGTACCCCAAACAGCAGGAAATCTCAGGCTTGCACATTGGTGTGTGGTACACAGTAGGTGCTTAATAAATGCTATGCTTTACTGACTATTGACTATCACTGACCTCCCTGAAAGCCCCTTCCTCTCCCACCGCAGCCCCCAGCTACAATGACACCAAGCTCTGGCTGAATCGACACTTGCCCTACATTGTGTGTGGCCCTGTGCTGGAGAAATCACCAAGCCAGCCCCTCTCATTCCCCTCTCCGCCTGCTGCGACCCCCCAGAATGGTACCCCTAGCATAGCCCAGGAACCCCGTGTGGGAACCAGGCCCTGACACTCACCACTGTGCTGTATTCCACCTCTGGCTGCCTCGGGTGCATGGGCTCTTCCCGAAGGGGCCACGTCTGCAGCTCCAGATTCGCATAGTGGGGCTCCTCTTGCTGAGATGGGGGGGTTTGGTGGGTTTCCACAGAGCCCCTCCATGGTCCAGCCCAGAGGGATCTCTCTTCCTTCCTGTGTGCGGATATCTCCCCCTTCCCTCGATGCCCTGGATGCCCGAGCCTCTCTCCTCCAGCCCCAATTCTGGTCATCGCCGGGCAGTATTGGAATGCCCCCCAGGTCAGCATCAAAGGACCCTCCCCCATTCCACTTTGTATGGGGACAGATTGGCTAGGGCTCAAGACAAGACCCAGTGACCAGATCTCCCAGGGATCACTCTCCCTGCTCTGGGCGAGCACCCCACTCCATCCCCTGATGATGCACTCAGACCTCCAGGGGCCAGTGGGATTGCTCAGGCCCCCAACATCCTCTGTTCTCCCCGCCAGCCACTCCCGTACACCCCTAGCCTGTCTTACCTGACTGGGGGACCGTGGTTGCTTTGGATTCTCGCCAACTAAAGAGACAGGAGAAGAGTTAGAAGTTTGAATCCCAGAACGAAGCAGGAATGGGACTCCCTATGATCCCGTTCCCTAGAGAATCTGGCCCTAGGGACTTGTTGCCTCCGATCTGCCACAGGGTAGGAGTTCAAGGCTTTGCCTCGAGCGTGAATTCGTGAAGAAGGAAGAGGAGAATGGATGAGCGAGTGGAGGCCTGAAGAACGGAGCCAACAGGAAGGCGCTCTGGCTTGGGAAAAGTGGCCAAACCAAAGCTAGTTCTTGAAACAGCCACTCAAAGATTGTTCCCCGGCAGAAGAAGACAGGAAAGGGATACCCCTTTAAGAGGACCCGTTGGCAGGATGAAATGGCGCTGGAGATCTCTTTCACTAAAACATGAATATTCTTAACATCACCGAACTGTAAACTTGAGAATGAAGGTGGCTAGGGGCACACGACCTTGGGCTCCTGGGGCCCACAACGTTGCTCTGCAGGAATCCTATCTCGGAGTCAGGCTCTGTGCGCCCCTGCCTTGACCCCTGGAGCCCCAAGGAGCAGTTTGGGTCCTCCCAGGGGATGCACACGCGGCCGGGAATGCCTTTGGTGTAGCTGCACGGACATCGCCGGGGAAGGAATGTGGCCGGGAGCCAGCTGGAACACTGAAGGTGGAGCCCTGTCTAACCCTGTCGCAGCAGTGTCACCCAGAGCCCGGCACAGGGCCTGGTGTCACAGCAGGTGCTCAGGACAGTGGTGCTGGGTGTGTGAGGGAGGGAGGGAGGGCATGAGCGAGGGCACGGCAAGCAGGCTGGGGGGGAAGAACCGTCAGCGGGTGTGACGGAGCAGGCATCAGGCTCTGGGACAGGGGAGGGGATGGTGAAGGGACAGGAGCTGAGACTGGCAGGGATGGGGAGGGAGAGTCAGGATATTTGAACAGAAACCTTTTCTCCTGTTACAGAGGATCAGTGAAGCAAGGTGTAATCCCCCCCACCCACAAACACACTGTCCAACTCTGCAGTAAGAGACTTCTAGAACATTCCGGGGCAGGGAAAATGATACAATAGGTTAAGTGCAAGAAAAAAAAAAAGGTTTAAAAGAGGGATTATGGTATGAAGCAAACCATAAGTGAGAAATCATATCTACATAAATAAGCATTGAAAACAGCAGCTGGGAGTTGAGGGGGCCTGGGTGGCTCAGTTGCTTGCATGTCTGACTCTTGATTTTGGCTCAGGTCATGGTCTCAGGGTTGTGGGGTCGAGTCCCACCAAGGGCTCAACAGGGAGTCGCTTGAGGACTCTCTCCCTCTCCCTCTGCCCCTCCCCCGACACATGCCTGAGCACATGCTCGCTCTCGCTCTCAAGTTAATTAATTAATTTAATTTAATTTTAAAAAGAGAGAAAAGCAGCTGGAAGGACACACCTCAAATGTCAGTGGTTAGCTTTCTCTGAGTGGTGGGAGTTTTCTTTCTTATTTATTATGGGGAATTTATTTCCTTCTTTGTGCTTTTACTTATCTTTTGAATGTTCTACAACCATCTCGTATCCCCTTTTTTAGAAGGGAGGATCTCTAAGTGAAAGGGCAGAGAGTTCTGTAGCAATTGGGGCTGGGGAAATCCTCCTCACCCTGGGGAGGCTCCACATCACATGGGCCCAAATGAGGGGAAGGGCCTCAAAAGTGATGTGAGAGAAGCAGATGGGGACGAAGAAGTGGTTTTCCTTCCCTACGTCAGGCACACACATGCTGGGGCTGACTTCTCTTCTGAAGGCCTGACCCCCACCGTGGGGAGGGGCAGTGGGAGTCCGGGAGATAAGAGCTCAGGGTGGCCATGCACCAGCTTCCAGAACACTGCCTCCTCCCCTAAGGCTGGACATAGATCCCCCTGAGAACCAGCTGCTAGAGTCAGAAAGTTCTAGAACAAGAAGGAAATGTAAGGCTCACACTCCAATGCAGGCAGAAATCTGAGCTCCTTTGGGTGACAGCTGGGTCTCCAGCCAGCAACAAGAAGGTCCCACCTATTTTATTTATTTATTTGACAGAGATACACAGCGAGAAAGAGAGCACAAGCAGGGGGAGCGGCAGGCAGAGGGAGAAGCAGGCTCCCCGCCGAGCAGGGAGCCCGATGTAGGGCTCGATCCCAGGATACCAGGATCATGACCTGAACAGAAGGCAGACGCTTAACGACTGAGCCACCTAGACGCTCCTCTGTTCTCTCTTTTAATTTGAGCCCAGAGGAGAGCAAGCAGGCCCCAGGATGTCCACAGCATCTGGGGTGCCCTTGTGGTGGGAGATATTAAACAATATGTTAATTTAACAAATATGACCGTGTGCCTTCTCAGGTTCCTCCCTGGTCTTGAGGAGTAGCCCAGGCTGGCAGGGAAACAGGCAAGGAAGCAGGTGGGGACAATCAGCAAGGAAAAGGGCCCAATGGTGTGTGCAGAGGGGTGCAGCCAGGAAGGGCTCCCCAGTTGCTTTGAGGGAGCAGGAGAAGGAGCCAGAGGGAAAGAAGTCCAAGGGCCCTGAAGCCCACCAGGAGTGAGCCAGTGAGAGAAGGCAGAGAAGGTGCCCCAGGGGCCCAGAGCAAACGCAGAAGGGGAGACTGAAGGTATAGCTCCCCCAGGTTGTAGGAAGCTGGGATCAGCAGCTGTCCTGAGTATAACAATGGGCAGGGGGTGGGCGGGACTGGTAATGGAGAGACCTGGACTTTTGAGGGTGTGGGAGGTGATGATAGGGTTTTATTTTTGCTTTTTTAAAGATTTTATTTTATTTGACAGAGAGAGATCACAGGTAGGCAGAGAGGCAGACAGAGAGAGAGGGGGAAGCAGGTTCCCCGCTGAGCAGAGAACCTGATGTGGGGCTCAATCCCAGGACCGTGAGACCATGACCCAAGCCAAAGGCAGAGGCTTAACCCACTGAGCCACCCAGGTGCCCCCATGGAAGGGTTTTAAACAGAAGAAGGTGATGGTTTCACAGACTACCTTCTAGGGACCCCCCTCCCACATAGCAGAGATGCCCCCTCTGGGGTCTGGGCTTTAGGGCCAGCCAGGATGTGTGGACTGAGTGTACGGGTGTGATGGCCATTCTGGGGAACAAGGACACAGAGCCTCAAAAATGAGAGGGTGTGCTGGCCCACACTCCAGCTGGCCAGGGATTGACTCACATTTGACCCGTCTGCAAACCATCCTCCAGGCCAGCAGCGAGCTGCCCCCCAGCAGAAGCAGCAGAAGTGCCAACAAGGAGAGGAGAACTTGGAGCCTAGAGGGGGACACAGGGCAGTGTTGAGCAGGTGGGAGCTTGCCGTGCCCCCCTCATTTGCAATAGATGATAAGATCACATTTCAAAAAAAGAGATAGAGTGTATAGTCTCCTTTCTACACACATGCAGTATACTTAAGAACCTTCCAGAGGCTCTTTCCCAGATACAAGAAAATAGAAATGTACATTATCTTCCTTCTTCATTCACACAAAGGAGGCATAAGCCAGCACTGTATTTCTATTTGCCAGTACATGGGGGACATCTCTCCATATCTGTGCATAAAGAAGACCCCCACTCTTTTTCACAGCTGCATACTATTCCATGGCATGCATACTACTCCAGACCGTCATTTATTTAATTCTTCCCTCTTACTCAGCATTTCCCCCAGTCTCCTGCAACTGCAAACATGATTCCAAAAATCCACCTTGTACTTCTGCCATTTCTTTCTTTCTTTTTCTTTTTTCGGGATTTATTTATTTATTTTGAGAGAGCACGAGACTCTCAGGCAGACTCTTTGCTGAGCATGGAGCCAGACGGACGCAGGGCTCGATCCCACAACTCCAGGATCACGATCTGAGCCTGCATCAAGAGTCAGACACTTCTCTGACTGAGCCACCCAGGTGCCCAATAGCTCTGCCGTTTCACCCGTGAACAAGCCGCAGCAGATGGGAAGCTGATGTTGGGTCCCTCACATTGCCAGTCCCCTCTTTTATGTCTAGTTTGCATTCACGATGTTCTAGTCTTTCCCTCAAAGATGCACCTTGGCCCCCACACCCCAAATTGCACAGGATCCAAGCCGCACAAAGCCTAGCTCGGCCCCGTGTGTGTATCTGCAGTCAGTTCTGGAAGTGGTGTGTTCGGGGCTTGCATTTCACCTTGCCTGATGTCAAGACTGTCCCTTGGGTTGACAGGAGGCCCGTGTGAGGGCTTCAGAGGGTTATATAATAAGGAATCTGAATGAGGGCGCCTGGGGGGCTCAGTCGGTAGAGCACGAGATTCTTGACAGCAGGGTCATGAGTTTGAGCCCCCACGTTGGTGTAGAAATGATTTTTAAAAAAGAAAAAAATCTGGATGGACATTGCCCCTGGCTCCTGGAAGGAAGGCTCTAAATCCTTGGGATTTCCCTAATAGTGTGCGTGCCTTTGCTATTGGGCCCCTTGGATCAGACTTGAGTTCATGCTAAGAGATGAGGTGAGTCAGGGTTGGGGCTGGTCATCAGAAGGCCTAACCCCATGATTATACAGACTTAGGGCTCTGAGTCAGCCTGAAATTCAGGGAGCAGAGCGGGGCTGGGATTGAGATCAATCATGCAGCCAATGACTCAACCAATCACGCCTATGTAAAGGAAGCCCAGGAAGAGTTGTGAGCAGCAAAGCTTGGAGGAGCTGCCTGGTTGGTGAGCACATTGATGTCCCAGGAGGGCGATGTGCCCCAATTCTCCTGGGAGTCATCAGGGAAGCTCTGGGCTCAGGACCGACCCTCCTGGACCTCGCCCTGTGTGCCTCTTCTTTGGCTGGTCCCGGTCTTTATCCTTTATGATAAAACCATATTTGTAAGTATAGCGCTTTCTTGGATTCTCTGAGCTATCTAGCCAATCATCAAACCAAAGGGGGTCGTGGGAACCCCCAAATTTATAACCAGTTAGCCAGAAACCTGATGGCCTGGGAATCCCCAAAAGTGCTCTGGCCTCCAAAGTCAGGCAGTCTTATGGGGCTGAGCCCCCCCACCTGCAGGGTCTGTGTAAACTCCAGGTGTCAGTGCCAGAGCTGAATCCCAGGACACTAGGTGGTGGCAGGATAAGGAGTCCGAAAACCTCAGAAATGGTTTACACCTGCGCGTGTTTTCCTGGAGAGTCTATAAATGTGGGATTCTCGTGACCCCAAAAAGGTCAAGAATCACAGGTTTGGAAGGAAAAACCCAAGACTCTGGGTCACCTGGGCTGAAGCCCAGCCTGCCTCTCATAGCTACGTGACCCCCCCCACACACACACACTGTCTGCTCCTCCGGACCACGGAGCTGTGCTGGCACAAGGCTCTAGTGGGATGAGAACAGGCACACAGGCAAGTAGCAGGTGCCTGGTAGGATCGTCAGCCCTCACTGGATTTCCTGTCTTTCCAGCCCCACCGTGGCCTCTCCCTGGCCTGGAGCAATTCCTGAGGGGAGAGCCCACCTCCAGGACAGGGGACAGGGGACGGGGCACCTTACCCCGGGCCTTGGCTCGGCGGGAACTCCTCCTGGCTGCTTGCACTGCAGGTGGCTCCCTCGGTGGTCGTCGGGGCAGCGGAGGAGGGCGGGGACGGCGAGGTCGTAATTTTAGTTGTGGTTGTTGACATTTGGGTTACAGTGATGCTGACAGGTGGGGCAGGCATTGTTGCTGGTGTGGAAACACAAATCAGACCCAGGATAGCTCTCTCAGACTCTCCCTCTACTTGCCAAGACTTTTTTGGTTTGATTTCACACAAAATGCTCACTCAGGGTGGAAGCAGGATGGAGAACCCCAGGGGCCAAAGTCTCCCCAGGGCTCTCCTGAGCCAAGTGAGCATTTTCAAATGGGACACTGGCACTGCTTGCCCCCAGTAGTCCTGATTCCATCCTGCGAAGGAGGGTCATGACCTCGGGAGAGCTCCAGGTCCTCCCTGCACTTGAGCCTTGTCCCCATCCTGCCACAGCCACAGGCCGTCTGCCTGAGACCTCTGTCTAACCTGCAAATCTGTCCCTCCCGGCTGGAGCTCCTGCTGCTCCCAGCACCTTTCCAGCCCCGGGGACGCCTGTCTCTCCTTCCCGCAGCACGGCTCTCCATGTCCGCGGGGCTGGCACCAGCGCTCTCCCTCTCTTCTTTGCACACCTTGCCTTCTCGAGACTGAGCAGAGAGGCCAGCTCCTCCAGGAAATCTCCCTGACTCTCTTTCTCTCTCGTCCTACTACCTGCCTTACACACGCATGTGCACGTGTGTGCGCACACACAGACACACACACACACACACACATATGCTCATAGTTTGCTCCAAGCCTCTGGCCTGATTCCTGCTTCAGCCATTCCAACCTGAGGCCCTTCAGGCAGTCCTGGTGCAGGTGCTGGCGCTGGGGGAGGGGTGCGCACAGCTCACCTGGGGTCACAGACAGCACAACTTGGAAGGTGTCGTCGAACAAATATCCTGGGAGCGGTGATGAATCGATCCCGCACAGGTACATCCCGGCATCATCCTCTGTGAGACTCTCCAAGGTCACTGTGAAGGTGAGGTTTGCAGGATGGTCCCTGATGGACACACGGCCCTTCCTCACTTCTCTGTCTGCCCCTTTGGTCTTTACGATCTTCCACACACACAGACTTTTGCACCAGTACTTGGCATTCTCTGTGAATTCCTCCTCATACTGACACTGCACGCTCACGGATCCCCCCACGGTGCCCATCACGGAGGTGGGGCCACTCAGAGACCAACAACCTGGAAAACACAGCCGAGGGCGACCCCTCACCAGAGGGGCCTGGGTTGCAGCACCCCTGGAGTCACCCCCCAAAGTTGCCCCATCTCACATTGGCCACCCCCTCCTCTTCTTTTCTGTCATGCCCAAAGTTTTGTTGTTGTTGTTGTTGTTGTTGTTGTTGTTGTTTTTTATCACAGCAGCCCCTTTCCTCCACACTCCAGCCTCCTTTCTGGCTGCTCAGGGTCACGAAATCTTATCCCAGCAAACCCCAGCTGAACAAGCGATTTGAAGTCAGGAGAGGAACACACACATATACACCGTGCCCAGAAGGAAAGAAAGAGTAAGGTCAGCATAGAAATTAGTGAATTAAGAAACAGAAGAACGGTAGAATTAGCATATACATTAGAAAGCTGATTTTTCATATGGGAGAGACAAACATTCTGAGAGTAGCCAAATCAAGAAAACACAGGAGACACACACACACACAACTCATAAGAAAAATAACCAGGGTTATTTGTAAGCCTCTACCAATTAGTCTGTAAACTTATATGAAACTGATGGTTTTCTATATTTAGAAAAATATAAATTACTGATATTGGCCCAGAATACTTATCTTTTTAATGCAGACCTGTGAAGATGTGTGTTAGCAAGGAGACTTTTCCTGGTGATAAGTCTGTAAGGTGCCATGTATATCAAAATATCACACTGGGGCACCTGGGTGGCTCAGTGGGTTAAAGCCACTGCCTTTGGCTCAGGTCATGGTCTCAGGGTCCTGGGATCGAGCCCCGCATTGGGCTCTCTGCTCAGCGGGGAGCCTGCTTCCCCCTCTCTCTCTGCCTGCCTCTCTGCCTACTTGTGATCTCTCTCTCTCTGTCAAATAAATAAATAAAATCTTAAAAAAAAAACCAAAAAATCACATTGTACATGATAAATATACACAATTTTTATTTGGTACTTAAAGCTCAATAAAGCTGGGAGGAAATGGAAAAAAAAAAGTTCTTTGTCTTCCCCTAAACCAAAAGAGAGTAAAACTCAGACAGTTTTGTAAATCAGTTCTCTCAAACCTTCAAGGAACAAACAATTCCAATTGCATTTACACATTTGTAGAGAATATAGAAGCAGGAAAACCTCCCTAATTCCCCTCATGAAGGTAGCATCATACACTGAGACTAAAATCTGGCTCAAATTTCTTAATATAATTCACTGTCTTAATAGTCCAAAGAAGAAAAAATAATCATCTTCGCAGATAATGAAAAAGCTTCCTACACCCATTGCTACAGTTTGTTAAGAGACACAAGTGGACACCTTCTTCAGGCTTCATGGGAACCACTGGGCAGCTGCCCTCAGCAGGGACAAGGCAGAGATGGTCCCTGCCACCTCCGTCCTGGGTATCATTTGGCCGTACGAGCCTGTGGCCGATGAGAGAAACAAACGAGACAAATGGATATCCAGAAGGAACCACAAACTCCCACTGCAGACAGATCCCATGAAACACAAGGACACCCCAGAGGGTAAGGGACAGACTAGCCGTGCCGGGGTGACCACTTCCAAATTACTCTACAAAAGGAAGAGCGTTTCCATGGACAACTAGTTAGCAGATAGAGTCAGAGAAAACATACCATTTATCATCGAAACAACCAAAATGATTTGAGTATCCCGGGGATAGACCTGACGAGGTTGTGCCCGCCTGTGTGTGGCGAGCTCCTGAGAGACACAGAAGCCAGACCCCCAGAAGCAGGGAGCCCTCTGCTCCCTGGAGAAGCTCTCTACCCTCCCCTCCCCACCACCTTCTTCTCTGCTCTGTCGCCATCTCTCTGCTGTGGGAGAGCCAGATCCCTCAAGCTACCTTGGCTACACGCCTCCATGTCCCTGACACCATGGCCTGCCCCTGCCAGTCCCCAGCCCTCCCACACCCTGCACCAGACACACCCCCCTCCCCATGGTGGGCTCAGTGGCCACTCTCCCACCCACTCCACTGTCACCTGCTCTCACCTCCTTCTTCCTGTAATAATTCCTCCAAAACTTCCCACAAAGCCCCTCTGGGCCCCCCGCTGTGGCTCAGGGAAGGTGAGGCGGATGGCCTGAGCCATGTCTGGCCCCTCCAGGGTGCAGTCCTTCCATCTGTCCACGTCTGTGCTGGACAGACTGCACCCTGCTCCGAGGTCGGAACTGCCGCTGCCTCCCCAGCAGCCCTGCTCCCCAAGCCCTCCCCAGGACAGGCTCAGTCTGGGCAGCCCCTCACCTGGGACCCAGAGAAGCAGCAGAGCCCAGGACAGCCACGGGACCCGGGCCCGCCGGGTCATCTCTCTGGCACAGACGTCACCTGCAGCACTGCCTTCAGGCCTCTTTGAGGAGGAGGGTCAAGTCTTCAAGCCTCCCACTTCTGCTTTTCCTTATCCCTGCTGCTTCCTGGTTTAGTACCTTTAGGCTCTGCTCCTAGAGCTGTCAGAAAATGAAGGACACCGAGGGAATAAAGCCTCCATGGACGATGGTAAGCTGAGACCCCCCCAGGACCCACGCACCCTCCTACCCATCCTACCTGTGTCCCAGATGCCACAAGCATTTCCAGTGCCAGGAACCCCGCTCCCCCACAGGGCCGCGAGCCTGTGCCCCCGCCCCCATCACACCCCAAGACCACAAGGCCTGGTTTCCTTCCTCTGGGCCCAGTAATTCCTCTGGTTTCCTTGTGGTCAGGGTGAGCACCCAGTGGGGCGGAGCCAGGGCCAGCATCCTCCTCCAGCCCTTGGGGGCACCCACAGTGAGGCCACCCCAGGGAGCTCCCCTTCTAGTAGCTCCCAGCTCAAGAACCAGACCTCCTAAGCTGGCATGGTGACTTCAGAGTCCCTGAATGTTTCTTACTCTTGGAAACATGTCCTCAGGATGTGACCTTCCTTCCTCTGCAGCCCCAGTGGTCCCAGCTCGGGGTTGGGCACAGAGTGGGGACTTAGCAAGCTTACAAGGACCCCTGTGCCCTGATCCACCAAGAGTTCAGACTCTAAATATGCATACACACACACACACACACACACACACACACACACACACACCTCCAGTGACAAGTACGCAGCTTGCACAGAATGGCTACATGAGCAGAGGAAACCAACCCTAACGTGTGACATGTCATCTGGGTGCTTGTGGTTACCCCAGGTGTCGCCTGGAGGGAGCCCTGCACTAGCTCTGAAGTCCCAAGAATGTCCTTTCCCTGCTTCTTAAAGGATTTTCACTTTCCTCCTCCCTTCTGGCCACAGGAGCACCTTCCCCGGGAAGGCGCAAGGGAACCCAGAAGACTTGCCCATTCTCCTCTGGAAGATTCCAAGCACAGAGTTAGGTAGGCATCGGAAGAATTTCTAAGACACAGTACAGTCATCGTTTAATCAAAGCTCATGGAGATCCAAGATCAAGATCTTGAGCGAAACAGGAGACTGTGGGAGAGGGGTCATACTTGGTGGTTTGCTTGGTCTAGTAAATATAAAGTTTCCCCAGAAGTGCATATTTTCCAGTTCAACCACCCAAAGGCACTGCTGTGGTCTTGAATGTCAAGGTTTAGAGGGGGACGCACCAGACTGAGAAGCAGGAGGCTAGGATCTCCTGTGGCTTGTCCACTTGGCGCTGGTACAACCGTGGGTAAATTCTGTGGCTCCTTCAAGGTGTCAACAATCACAGCCAATCTGGGGAAATAAACAGTATAATAATCATAAAAATACTCAAAGGTGAGGTAACAGTGTCACCTGGAAATACATCTTTACTCTAAAGAAAGGCAATAGGGGGGCACCTGGTTGGCTCAGTGAGTTAAGATTCTGACTCTTGATCTGGGCTCAGATCTCAGGGTCGTGAGTTTAAGCCCCACACTGGGCTCCATGCTGGGTGTGAAGCCTAATTAATAAATATAAAAAATAAGTAACAAATAAAATAATTTTTTTAAAGATTTTATTTATTTATTTGACAGACAGAGATCACAAGTAGGCAGCGAGGCAGAAAGAGGAAGGGAAGCAGGCTCCCCTCCAAACAGAGAGCCCGACGTGGGGCTCAGTCCCAGGACCCTGGGATCATGACCTGAGCCGAAGGCAGAGGCTTTAACCCACTGAGCCACCCAGGCGCCCCCAAAATTTTTTAAAATTAAAAAAAAAAAGCAAAACAATAGGAAAATAAGTTTCACTAGGGAGTGTGGGCTTCACAAGTAATCTGTGGGGGGAGGTTCCTCTTAGGAGCCCAAGGAAACACCTGGACTCCTGGAGGGGGAAGGGCAGGGGACTTGATCCTGCTGGCCCCATCCTGTCCACAAACACCGAGGAAGAAACGAAATGAGACAAATTGTCCCGTGATGGGGCATCTTAGTGGCACAGTCGGTTAAGTGCCCGACCTCAGGTCATGACCTCAGGATCTCGAGATCGAGCCCCGCGTCAGGTTCTGTGCTCTGCTGGAGTCGCCTTGAGACTCTCTCTCCCTCTCCCTCTGCTCCACCACCTGCTCTCCCTCTCTCTAAAATAAACAAATAAAATATATATTTTTTTAAATTGCCCCATGCTGTCAGAAGATTAGGGAAGTGACACTTTCCCCCTACTCCGTAACAACTACTAGTGGGCATGATTTAAGGGAAGACGAAGCCTGAGAACCACAGGCCTAGGGATCATCGGGTTCGGAGCTCCTTCCCAGGGTGGACACACGTGCTCAGAGGCCAGCGGGGACAGGGGTGGACAGTGATGGATGGGGGCTCCCTGGGTAGACCCAGTCACAGCAGCAGGCACTGCCTGGAGTCCTGAGAATGGTAGGTGCCTCAGAAAATATCGGGGGGTGGGGGTAGCTGTGTGGCCATTCAGCCAGAACTTCCCTTTCCAAGGTGGCACAATCTCAGAGCTGCCCTCTCTCCTGGGCAGTCGATGGCTCCCCATCACTCTGCCTTTTCCTTTCTGGAGATCTAGGCCCCTCCCCCACTGTGGGTGTCCCTCAGGTGTGGCCAAAAGCCAAGAGGCTGGGCACTGCGGAATGACCAGCAGGAAGTGGCGGCATGACCGGCTGGCTGGGGAAGTTTGCTGACCGCTGGGAAAGTTTGCTGACCGTTGGGTGAGTCTGTAATGGGGCGGGAGGGGGGAACCAGCACCTGCGCCAGATGCTTTGTTTCGGGGGGCTGATATCTTCGGGATCCCTGGAGGTAAAAAGGAAAACCGTGAATGAGAAGCAGTGGGGGAGGGGCAGCTGGGAAGGAGGACAGAGCCCCGGAAGTGTCTGGTTTCTCAGTCTGGCCCAGCCTGCCTCTCCGTTGGACTCCCCAGGACTTCCCACATCCCACCCTCCTGCCCATGTCAAGGGAACCTACTCCAACATGGCCAGACCTTCTAGGGGCCCAGGCAAGCAAGACCAACCCACATTCCAGTGCATGCCATAGTCCCAGGGACACAGTCTACAACCAGCGGGGTCATGGTCTATAACACACTCTCAGGTTTGGCTCCAGGCATGCTGTGTTCTAGACTGAGACGACACTGTGGGTGAGCAGATGGGGGCAGGACTGGCCAGAGGCCTGAGAGCACTCTCTGTCCCCCAGAGGGCTCCCGAGGCTTCCTGTGCACGGAGCCGCAGCTCCATGCAGGCCCTGCCCCCCTCACAGGTGTTCGAATCCCAGAGAGAGGACCAGGACAGAGACCTGGTCTCATGGGGGCCTGCGGAGCTCAGCAAGGGCCTCCACTGGGGACCTGCTCCAGGTGGAGGGGTGGCCCTGAGGGGCAGCCCTGGGGGGCTCCTCAGAGTCCCAGTCACAGTAGCAAGAAGGGCATAGGTGACTCTTCAAGGTCCTCCCCCCAGCGGGGGAGGCAGGGGCAGCACTCAGCGCTCATGGGCCATCCTCTCCCGACACCCTAGGGACACACCAAGTGGCCAGACGCGCAGGGGCAGCTTCTGGCCAGTGCTGACCTCCCGGGTCTCCTGAATCACAGCTGATAACCTGGGAGGTGGGTAAGGGGAGCCAGCCCTGGAGGCCCCGTGACTGGGATGTTGGGGTCAGCGCAGCATGGAGGTCCGGCCTTTGTGGCCTGGCCCTGAGCGGCCTTCCAGCAGCAGGTGCGGCCCCAATGAGTCATCAGTGCTTCCTTCTGTGAAACGGGAGCAGCGCCGCCGGCCCTGCCCCGCCCCCCCGAGGGAGGCTCCCCAGGACAACAGAGACGCGAATGCACCTGCCTGGCGCCTGGGCTGCTGTTGACTGAACTCACGTCCTGAAATGTGCTCGCCTCTGCCCCCACACTCAGAGAGATGAGATGACTTACTTGCAAGGACTCCACTTTCGTCCACCATACCACGCCTCTCCAGTGAGTGACTGCTCAGGGCAGGGAGAGAGTGGGTTCTAGAAGGCAGTGGAGGGCACCAAACTGCTGTCTCAGAAGTGCGATGGGGAAGGGGATGTTGGGCAATTATGGCTGACAAATGGATGGACTTGCCCGGGAGTCTTCGTTCCCCCGCCTCCCCATCACCACCTTCTGCTTCCTTCTCCTCCCTCACCCAAGGGCCACCCTGGGCCTCTTCCTCTGTCGAATGATGCCAGACAAACAGAACACAGTCCCTGTGGGCTTTCGCCCCGGTCCTGACAGGGGGTGGGGTCGAACCAGCAAATGGTCAGTTCAAACACTTCTAATATTGGCTTCCGGAAACACAGTTGGCCTTGAGCTTGACTTTGTGAGTTTGTGACACTCTGGGGATGACCCCACCTCAGGAAGGTCAGCAGCTTCTTCAAACACACACACACACCCCTATAACCTCCTTGACCCCACAGCTTATCTGTCCCAGGACCTACAGCAATCTTCCCACAGACATTTCCAGAAGCTGGCAGAATGCATTTCTTTCTTTCTTTTCTTTTCTTTCTTTCTTTCTTTTTTTTTTTTTTTGGTGGGCAGCAAAGCCAAGTTTATTGAGAGTACGAAGCTCCAGAAGAGGGAGGGGACCTGAGAGGGTTGCCCAGAGTATGTGTTTCAAAGCCAAGAACTCAGGCAAGCCAAGAGTTCATAGGACTTCACAGTAGGTGAGTGTTCACTATAGACGTGTCCGTGTCTCCCTCCCTGTTCCAAGACAGCGGGTCAGGAGTATACATGCTTCCCGGGAGAAAAGGTGAAGCTCATTGTATTGCCTCACCTTGCCTGAGTCTGGTGCGTTCTTTCTATTTCTTTTGGACTTTCTGTGCTTTCCTGAGATGCAGACAGGTCTGATCCACTTACATTTCCTGAGTCTTTTAGTATATTAGTAAATGAAGAGTCCAAAAGAGGATTAATGAAAATTAGGGCATTTAACAAATCAAGGCTTTTGACATGCAACACATACACACACACACACACACACACACACACACACACACACTTACAAGGTTTATAAAAGTATTAACTCATGGTGTGGGCTGGCAAGGGGACCAGCTGCAGAGTTATGGGAAGGACCCCTTCTCTCCTTCCCAGCAGGAGAAGTCCTATAAATGCTGGGCCTTTAAGAACAAACTCACTTAGGAATAATGTCAATACTAAGTTTGAAGAAAAGTTCTAAAATTGGGTTCTGGTAATGGTTGCACAATTGTGAATTTACTTATAATTAGAGAAGTACATGTATAAAATGAGTAAATTTTATGGCATGATACCTAAATTTAAAAAAATTGAGGGGGGGGCATCTCTGGGGTACAGTGGTTTAAGTGTCTCATGCTCGGTTTCGGCTCAGGTCATGATGTCAGAATGGTGAGATCAAGCCCTACATTGGGCTCTGCATTCAGCACAGAATCTGTTTGGGATTCTCTCTCCCTCTCCCCCTGTTCTCCTCTCCACCCACCTCTCAAATACACAAATAAATCTTTAAAAAGCAACTTTGTGAATGTGAGCCCAAAGACCTTCTCTCCACCACCTCCCCTCATCTATCCATCTTGATTACTGAATGTCCTTTTAAAAAAATCTTCTTAAAAATTTTTATTCAGGGACAACAGTGGGTTGGAGCCTCTGCCTTTGGCTCGGGTCATGATCCCGGGGTCCTGGGATCCGGCCCCGCATCAGGCTCTCTGCTCAGCGCGGAGCCTGCTTCCGCCTCTCTCTCTGCCTGCCTTTCTGCCTGCTTGTGATCTCTGTCTGTCAAATAAATAAAAATCTTTAAAAAATTTTTTTTTATTCATTTATTTGTCAGAGAGAGAGAGAGCACAAGCAGGGGGAGCAGCAGGCAGATGGAGAAACAGGCTTGCCACTCGATCCCAGGACCCTGAGATCACAACCTGAGCTGAAGGTAGATACTTAACTGACTGAGCCACCCAGGCATCCCACGTCCCTCTCCTTGTGTTTTATTCCCTCCTCTGCCCCAGTCTCCCTCAGACACTTCCTGGCACTGACCAAATATTTCAAAGAACTGATTCCTTCCTTCCTGCAATGTGAGAGGATCAGGGAAGGCTGTCGACAAACCAAGTACCAAAGTCGTTAAAAACTTCCAACAGAGGGAATGGGTATCTACCTCTCCCAGGGAGGTGAGGCATGGAGTGCAGAAGCGCAGGGACTGCTTGTCAATAGCACTGAAGGCAAGATCCACTGCCCTGGCCTGGCCCCTCATGTGCTCAGTTCACTCGTATCTAAATCCATTGCACCCTGAATTCCAGCACTTTCCATGCTTCAACTCCTGACTGCTCCCCCCCGGCTCCGCCTTGGTTTCCACCCCAGCCCATTCCTGCCTGTCTGTTTCAGCCCTGGCTGGCCCCAGGGGGCACATGAGGGCCCCAGGGAATGGGGTGGTGGGGTGGGGAGTGAGCACAGAGTAAACAGAGTAGAGCTGGGATGAACCCAATGGCCTAACCTAGCCTTGGAGTAGTCGGCTGTGGGGCAGTGCCAGGGAGGTCCAACAGTCCCAGACCTAATTCCCAAGGTGGCTGGAACTAGGGAACACAAATCAGGTGTGGGGCCCAGAGGGCAAGGGGCAGTGCGGTCTGCAGCCAGTAGAGAAGCTGCTCTCCCTAGAACCCAGGTAAATCGGGAATCCGGCAGCTATGGGCGGTCCATGGCGCCATCTGTCGGTAGTTTCTAGAACTGCCGGCTGTGTCAGACAGGTAACTTTGTTTCCATCTCTCAAGCAGGAAGCGGAGAGGTGTCTGTATACATATCGAGGTGGGTGGCATTGATCCTTCCATATCCTCCAGCCAGTAGACTAGGAAGAAGGGGTAGGCTCCAGCCCCTGGGAGAGAGAATGTGGGGACTTCAGAGAAGCAGGGGGGCCTCTATGGTGGACAAGGAGCTGGGGAAGGGGGTGGGGGGAAGTATGGAGAAGGGAACAGGAATGAGCCCATCTCTCCAACCAGGCTGCCCAGGAGTGGTGAGGGGCACCTGAACTCAGACTCTGGGGTCTCTAGGGCTCCTGGTTCCCAGCCAACGAGACCAGGGGACGCTCAGAAGCCTCTCCAGATGACCAGCTCTGAGGCCCACCTGGGACTGCTCAGCTGCCTGTTAGATCCAGCAGACAGTTGCTCCACTTCTTGCTTCTGCTGGACTGTTCTAGATGAGGGGCGGGGCTGAGGCTGCCGGTGGGGGCGGCGGAGCAGCAGCCTCACCTCTGGGATCGAGAAGGCAGAGGCAGGGAAACACATCAACCTCCCTGCCGTATCTCCCAGCTAAACTCTCTACTGTAAGGCTCTGGGTTCAAGGGCCAAGGTCCCACCAATGGGACCCCCTTTCTGAATGTGTCTTTCGGCCACATGGGGAGGATGAGAGCTTGCATATTCCTGAGTTTCCAGCTCTAGGACACAGGAGGCGCGGCTTTCGTGGCGGGCAGCTTCAGGGGTGCACGTGTGTGTCTGTGCAGGGAGGGGAGGGGATGGAGAAGGGGGTCCCTTCAGATGAAGCAGAAAGGGGAGTGATCCTGATACAGCTTTCCAGTCCCACCGACTGAATTTGTCTACACGGAAGCCCACAGGGTTTTCAATCATGGATGTTTATTAGATGCACTTGGAGAGCTCTTTAAAAAAAATATCCGTGCCGGAGCCACCTTTGCAACCTCCTTCGCCCACCCAAGTGCAGCTTGAGGTTCTGACTCAGTTGATCTGGGCGGAGCCCTGGCCCACGCCCTGAGGAAGAGAGGATGCAGGAGAGAAAAGAGGTTTCAGACCCGCCCTGGACATGCCCGGGAGCAGGTGCAGGAAACCCAGAAGTTAGCCACACACTTGACCTCAAGGAACCACTCTTAACCCCTGGATCACCAAAACTCTCTCCAGAGAGGGAGGGCAGACATTCGTACAGGGGAACTCGACATAACAGCGAAGCCCGTGGCTGTGGGATCTGGTGTCCCAGCCCCAAGCCTTCCACGCTGGCGATGATTAGGAGCAGGGACTTGGACTCACGGACTGGCTTTGAATCCCAGTCCTGCCCCTGACAAGCTGTGTGATCTTGGCTGACTTACGAACATCTCTGAGCCTCAGCTTGTCCCCCTGGAGAATGAGGCTAATGATCACCCCACTCCCCAGTGTCCACACCCCACAAAGGTTTGGGGTTGCTGTCTCTACTGGCTTTACCACATCACCCCCATGCCGAGTGAAGTGGGTCACAGTGTGTGCCACTTCCTTCATATCCAAGGCCAACAGAGCAGCTGTCCCCGTCCTCGCTTTTCTGCAGGACAGCTCAGACTCCTTTCAATCCTTTTCCCTGCTCCTCTGTCCCTCATTATCCTAGGATAGCCATGCCTTTCCAGGGAACCCTGTGCTGAATCCAGCCCCACATGGCCTCACACTTGGATGGGCCGCCCAGAAACAGAGAGGGTCAGGTCGACTGCTCAGGCCAAGACCTGAGACACTGCCAGACTTCTGAATCCACCAGGGGGCATTCTATGCCCAGGCACAGTGTATTGGCTTATTTGACAACTTAATGACCGTCTGCATTGTGCCAAGCGCTGGGGACAGGAAGATAAAATTATGACAATTCTCCTTTCTGGGAGTTCACCGTTTAGTAGGAAGCACATAAACAGACAGGAAAACAAAGGATTATCTTAAAAGGTAGAAGTGGTCCAAAGGTCAAGGCAAAAATCCCAGTGGCCTGGGTGGGAAAGGGCTTCTCCCTTTTATGGGACACAGGAAATGGTGCAGACAAGTGGCCCTGGGGTCAGGGATCCCAGCCCTGCAACCCTGCCCCTGTCAGTCCCATCTGATTTCTGTTCTCCAGGAATTCTGGGAGGAGGATGAACAGAGCCCTGAAAATTCCAGAAGGATATCCAGCCCACCCTAAATGGAGCCTCAATTCTTTCGAAGTATGAGGGGATGACAGGCCTTAAGTCATTTCACTCTTCCCCTTCCTACCACACATGCCCAGCAACCCCCACCCCCAGCAGTCCCCAAAGTGTGACAAAGTGGTTGAAACTGTCCCTGTGGGCCAGTCACCCAGCTGCTTCAACGCTCCCAAGCAGCCTGACTGTTAGGGAAGTCAGGGGTGGGGACCGTAGACATCGGGGTCCCCAGCACAGGGCCCCAGGGCCTCAGACCTCCCCCATCATGATTCTCTGGGGCTGGGACTAGGAATCTGTCCTTTCAACAGGCTCCCCAAGATGATGCCTACAATCACATTTAGGAAACTCCACCACGCAGAATTTGGAAGGCCTGGGACTCTCCTTGTGCTCAGAGGTGGTAGATAAGTTAGGATAGATTAGGAGAGGATAGGACAGGGGAGCCCGGGCGGCCCTGTCTTTTGGGTATCCGACTCCTGATTTCAGCTCAGGTCATGATCTCCGGGTCATGGGGTTGGGCTCCGTGCTCAGCACAGAGTCTCCTTAAAATTATCTCTCCTCTCCCTCCCCACCCCGCCTTCTTTCTCTCTCCCTCACTCTCTAAATAAATAAATATTTTTGTTAAAAAAAAAAAAAGAAGAACAGGATAGGACAGGATAGGGCTGTGCCTTGACTTGACAGTCAACTCAGTAGATATTTGTTGAATGACACAAGCCAGTGAGAAGAGCTCTCTGGGACCCGTGCAGGGGGATGGAGACAGGCAGCTCTGCAGCTTCCTCCAGACAGTCTCTCTGGATTTCCTTTGGGCTCCCAGAGTCCGGGGGCATTAGAGTGAGAGTCCCATCCAGAAAGAGGGTCTTGGAGTCCTAGCAAGGAGTTTGATGCTGCACTCACTGTGCCTGGGTGTCCTCAAGCATCAGAAGTATTTGGTAAAGCATTGTGCGAGCATGGAGGGCTAGCTAATGGTGTGGTCGTGGCAGTCCAGATCCTTTCAAATGGGAACAGGGGGCGCCCAGGTGGCTCAGTCAGTTAAACCTCCAGCTCTTGATTTCAGCTCCGGTCATGATCTCAGGGTCATGAGTTGGAGCCCCACATCCTGCTTGAGATTCTCTCTCTCTCTCCTACTCCTTCTGCTCCTCCCCTTGCTGTGCTCTCTCTCTCTCTCTAAAATATTTTTTTTAAAGTAGGGAACAGGGTAGGATGGCTCAGACCATCTTTGGGTCACAGGTGAGGTCATGGCAGCAACATCCTTGTTTACAGACAATAAGCCTGGCATGCGACTTGCTCTGGGGATGCTCGGAGAACTGTGTCCTGGCAGACTGTGGACCAGGAGCAAGGAGGAGCTGGGAAACCCCAGTGAGGGGGGAGGAAGCCCCAGGAGGGCAGCTGGAGGTAAAGACGTTATGGCCTCTTTAAGGATTTCAAGATTTGAAATTTGCACATGGAGGGAGTTCCTAAAAAAACAAACAAACTAATAATCCTCAGAAAGATAAAACCCAGAACTCCCCAGTTCTTGTCAAGATTCATCCAAGAAGTCTGGCCTCTGTCCCCAGGTCCCTCCTCCTGGCTGGCCCGAGGGGAGCCAGAAAACTTTCCCTGGTCATAGGACAGCTGAGGCAGGATGGCCATTTTTTTTTTTAAGATTATTTATTTAGAGAGAGAGAGAGTAAGAGCGAGCAGGAGGAAGGGCAGAAGGAGAGAGAGAATCGTCAAGCAGACTCCACACTGAGCACGGAGCCTGACACGGGGCTCGATCTCACGACCCCGAGATCATGACCTGAGCCAGAAGCAAGAGTTGGGTGCTTAACCGACTGAGCCACCCAGGTGCCCCAGGATGGCCATTTTAAAAGGCATTTCGTTAGTGCCTTGTCCCTGGGAATGCCAGGCTGGGGGAGCTCCCTCCCGCCCTACAAGGCTGAACCTCCTTTAGGATCACAAGGAGCCAGAAACCGGTCAGGAGGACCCGCTCTCCCTTGTGCCCTCTGGTGGGAACACGACACTGTATCCGGGTGTTACCTCAGCCTCCTGTCTCCTTGGAAGACGGGATTCTCCAGCCTCTGCCGGTGGTCTCGGGCACAGAGATGGCCGGCGCGGCTCACTCCTGGGGGTGGTGACACAGGGCGCCTCTCTGACCCGAGGTGGGCAGAGGCCTCTGCTTTTATGGCTGTCCTGGTTGAGGGGAGGGGTGGCGACTGTGGGCCCATCGTGACATCCAATCACAGGTCTCCTGCCTCATCTGGGATGCTGAGGGGGCAGTGTCTTCTCTATTCTTTTATTGAAACACGGAAGATGAGGAGGCACACTTTCCCAACGAAAGACTGCCCTCCTCACGTTTGCTCGCCACCAGCCCTCCCTTGACCCAGATCCGTAGCCCGTATCTGGGAAGGGGTACACAGATCTCAGTGTTCTTGGCCTGTGGACAATAGATAATTCTCTGCTCCTATGAACGCCGTCTGCTTCCCGGGAGGAGAAAAAGAATCTCAGCTTGGTGCCGGGGAGATCCAGCCCCCATGTGGGGGTATCCCAAGGCCTACCCGAGAGGACCAAGCCACCGCATTTGCAAGACCACACTTGCGAAGGACACGGTGGGAGCGTGCAGCCTCCCCCTAAGGCCTGCTGCATCCTCAAGCTGCCTTGTTACAGCCTGCCCCGACCCGCCCACTCCCCTTCCACCTGCCCAGGACCAGCCAGATGTTAGGCGCTGAATTCCTTCTCCACCCCATTCACATGGTGAAGTCCTAGTACCTCAGAATGGGACATGACTTGGAGTTGGGGGTCTTTACTGGAATGACTCGGAATGGGGGTCTTTACCCTGAGGTCATTAGGGGGTGCGTTCATCTAGTACGTCTGGTGTCCTTATAAAAAGAGGACATTTGGACATGGGGACACACATAGAGGAGAGACGACGTGAAGAGTGACAGCGAGAAGACGGCGGTCTGCAAGTCCAGGAGCGAGGCCTGGACGGGTCCTTCCATCGGGGACCCCCCCGAAGGAGCTGACCCCACTGACCCCTTGATTTCGGACTCCCAGCTTCCAGAAGGGAGATGACAAATTTCTGTTGTTGAAGCCACTCGGTCTGTGCTGAGTGGTCAAATGGTCCTCGCGAACCAATACCGCAGGTTGCTGCTCACTGGTTCCCAAGAGGAAGGGACCTCCTGAGGACCCAGAGACCCCCCCTCTTGACTTCCATGATTATGATCCAGGGAGATACTCTCTTCCAGCTCAGCCTGGCCCCCTGGCTCCATTTTGCAAGGTGAGACACAACCTCTCCCAGGTAAGCCCTCATTCCTCAACACAAGTACACCCTTTGTGAGTGCGCGTGCGCGCACACACACACGGGGTGGTTTTGTCCCCAGGGGACAGACCAGGACCTTACCGATACAGTAAAGCAGCTGCAGAATTCACGAGGAGAATAGACACTGGGCAAGCAGGAGGCTGACACAGGGGAGGTGCATCCTCTGATGATGGGGGATGCAGAACTGTGTGCCGGAGTTCAGGGTGGGGACTGATGTTAATGACACGGTGGCAGGGAACAGCTTTTAATGAGTGCTGGTGAAGAACCGAGGAGAGAATGAATGAATGGTTTGAACGTCATTCCCTGCTGTACTCTCTGCCCTGAGGGACACCCCGTGCTTTCTAACGCGGAGCCGCTCCCACAGAAACCTCGAGAGCGGCGTCAGCGCACTGGCATGTTCCGTGTGCACACATCTAAGTCAGTCGTCTCAAAACCGCAGTTTTTAGTTAGGCTGGGGTGGGCAGTGGGCATTGGGGGTCCCACGCCCCTACGTGCAACAAACACACTCTGTCTCCCCCAGGCCCTCCATCTTCAGCCTCCTCCGAAGTCCTCCCAAGGGCAGAATGCACTGGAAGAAACTTGGCAGGGTGAAAGCTGCCTGTCTTTCTCAGAGGGTGTGGAGTGAGAGGTGTGGCCTGGCCCTGCTGGGGTCTGGCCTTCCTGAAGGGCTGGCGGTTATAAGGGTTATAATGCTGGTGGGCTGGGGGGGCGGGCGGGCGGAGGCTACTACAGGGTGCGCTCACCTTGGGATTCCTTTTCTTTTTTCAGATCAATTTTTTAAAAAAATAGTTTCCTTGATGTTCATGGAAAAGGAAAGAGTAAGAGGAAGGAGGGAGGGAGAAAGAAAACAGTTGAAATGTCTTCATGACCCCCATCGGCCTGGCCCCAGGGACCCACCCCCTCCTCTTCGACCTGTTGTGGTGTCATGTGACTCTGTGCGAATGCAGGTAAATATGAATGTCTGCAGGGAGGGGCACTGTTAAAACCTTCCCACTTAAGCAGGGAATTAGATCCTTTGGAAAATTCTACTTGGCCTGTGCGGTGAGGGTGGGGGATGGCGGTGATGCCAACGGCATCTACCCGCCCCCCCCCCACCTTCCACCTGCCTATGATCTTCACCCCAAACAGCCCTGGTTAAGGATGAGATGGAATCTTCTCCCTTCAGCTGGGACTGATTCTTTTTTTTTTTTTTGTCCTTCTCCAACACCCTGCTCCCCTACCCCTTAGCTCCATGGGTGGGTGTGTACCTGGTTTTTACCTCCCCTAAGGAAAGAGAGAACAGGGACGGAGCCCTGCTACGTCTGGTTGGCCCCAAGGGGTCCATATCTGACCCCCAGTTGGCCAGGATGCTCCCCTAACCCTCCCACCTGACAGCCCCTGGGCTCCGTTGGTGGCCTCAGCTCACTGTACCTCCTTCCCCACCTCTGATCCCCGAACCCCTGACCCTGCCCGATGGACACACATGTCTCTTTCCAGTGCCCAACTGTTACAGGATTTTTGTTCCCTTACTGTCGTGGTTCTTGGTCACGCCTCTTGGAAGAATGAAGAGGTAGACCCAGGGGAGAGTGATGGGCAGTGAGGCAGAGTTTATTGCGTGATGGTACAAAGCTCCTGAAGAGGGAGGGGACCCTAAAAGGTTGCCAGTTTGGTGTTCAAATTTATAAACTCTTTTGAAGAACTATCTTGAGCATCCTGGGTGGGGGGCCCCTGTGGCTTGGCCGCTAAGGTGTACCAATCAGGGCTTCTATCATGCACCTGTCTCCCTAATGGGTTGTTGTTCACATGTTGCTGGTCTTTGGGGCTGACGTCTGAAAACTATCAGCTTGTGATAGTGACCCACGTTTTATGGTTCATTGTTTTGTTTCAGGATGTTTTGCAAAAGTGACTCCTGCAGACGCTGGGACAGGATGCTCTCAGGTCCTAAGCTGTGAAACAGGATGCTGGTGCGGTTTGGTCTTAGCTGTCCCCGCTTTTTTGCTTTCTTGTTGGGGACCCTGGCCCTGACTACTAAGTGTCCCATTAACCTCTAACACAATGACACTGACTGCCAGGGACAGAAAAACACCCAAGTTTCTCCGTCCCAGGGCTCCACTCAGCACCCACAACAGGGCAGGAGCCCAGAAGCTGTTTGCACAGTTAGAGGAGCTGGCCAGTCACATGCTGCCCAAAGGTTGTCAGGCTAAAGGTCACAGTCCCCAGGCTGGCCCCAGGCAGCTGTAAACCGGCGTGAAGGGGAACAGCATCACCAAGTCCTAGCTAGCAGAAGCCTCCTGCTTCAGACCCCGTGCCCCGCGAGCAACAGGCTCCATGTTCACTGTAATACCCCAGAACAGTGTTTTCTTCACCCAAGACAGTTTGCGCCCAGATGACACTGGGCAATGTCCGGGGCCATTATTCGTTGTCTCCACTAAGGGGATGGCGTTGCTACCGAGTATCTAGTAAATGGGAGGCCAGGAAGGCTGCTCAGCTCTGACAACGCACAGGATGACCCCAGCACAAAGAATGATCCAGGCCCAATGTCAGTGGTTCGAGACTGAGGGACCCTGTCCTAGAGGCAGACTCAAGGTAGCGCTGGGGCTCCCCGCATGCCAGCCCCATTGCACCCACCCACGCAAGCATAGTGAACCCCTTGGGCACAAAGACCCACTTGCCTGGGCCCCCTCCCCTGCTGGGTGCTGGGCCCAGAGACATGGGAATGAACGCTATCGGTATTGGCCTGGGTCTGGGGCTCACAGTCCGGGAGGGAACAGGAAAAAGGTCACAGGGGACGGTGATCCGCCCCACCCCCGGGGTGGGGGTAGGTAGAGCGCAAGCAGAGGGTCTCTACTTGGCCTCAGGCTGGGCAGGCAGCCGCGCTACCACCAACCCGCAGCGGGCCAGGAAGCGGAGCCAGCCGGTCGGGGCCGGCTCCTCGGGGTGGCGGGGATCAGGTTGCACGGGTGGCAGGGCGGGGCGCAGGAGGCGGGGCGCAGGAGGCGGCCTCGGGTTGGCCGGCAGCTAGGGGCGGGGCCCCTCGGAGTGACGCCAGATCCCGGAGTCGGTCCCCATCCCCAAGTCCCAGCCCCCCAGGTGCGTGGGGGAAGGTGGGTTGGGTGCTGAGGCGGCGGGAGGGAGTAGGGGACGCGAGCGGTCCGCCGGGAGAGCGGCTGGAGCGCGGGGTTAGGGACTCCGTAAAACCTTCGCCAGCCCCCGGCCCTCCCTGCGCGGTCGGATGCTGAAGCCGACCTCTTCGTGCTCCCAGGGCGCCCCAGGGCCTTGGCTTGGAGAGGCCCGGGGTGCGAGGGTTGAGGCGCTAGGATCTGGGCCCCCAGTGCCTCTGCACCCACCCAGCTCTGTTCCAGACCTCGAATTTAGGCCGTGAGGGCTCATTCTCAGCACAGCCTGTGCTTCGGGGTCCCAATTCGAGGGCTTGTGCAGAGCTGGGCCTCAGGGTGCAACTTACAGATGAGGAAAGCTTGTCAGAGGAGTTATTACTAACTAGGTCCCACCTGAGGAGCCGGGGGCGGGGGAGTGGGGTGTTGGTGGAAGTGGGATGCTAACCCGTGTGGATCCAGGAGGGAGCCCAGTATCACCCCGTCCATTTCTGCCCTTGGGTCTGACCTGCGGGAAGGAAGAGTTAGGCTCCAAACCCCCAGAGGGCAGGGACCAGATACTGCTTCTCTCTGTCCCCAGAGTAGGAACTCAGTATTTCCTGTCCACTGAAGGCAGTTCAAGACCCCCTCTTCAGCCTGGTTTCTTGACTTCCTGTGCCCCAGGTGACCCTCTTAGCATCTGATGGTCAACCCCTGCCAGTCAGTGTCTGACCCTCTCCTTAGCACCCCCTCCCAATCCTGGCAATCTGTTATCCTACCACTCTGGGGACCTCATCCATGAGCGACAGCAGAGAAAAGGAAAGGAGTCATGTCCAGAGGGCAGAACCCAGTGAAATCTGGCCCTGAAAGCAGTGTGTCTGGGCAGAAAACACCGGACAGCTAGCTTTATGAAACTGTGACTTTCATGGAGTGACCTTGAGGAACTAAACACTAAATATGAATTCAGGGTGTTAGTGCTTGTATTTTACAGGGGAGGAAACTGAGCCGCCCAAGGTCACAAAGCTAGTAAGCACGAGTTGGGATCTGAACCTATTGTTGGATTCCTAGGTCATGTTCTCCCTGCAGAACTGCCTCCTGCTAAAAGGGCAGCTGGTTTCTGGTCCTCACTTCGTTCCCTGTACCTTTCAGTCACCCACAGCCCACAGAGGGACCCACCACCCGCCAGCCTTCATCTGTCAATATCCCTTCTAAAAGGAGAGGAAGGTCAGAGCTGCACCCTCATCCCAAGGAGGATGAGGTCAGAGCATTACCCAGCTGGAAGAGATATAAATAATTCATGAGGCTGTGTGAATCGGGGGCTGCAGCTTCCGGGAGGGCCCAGAAGGCACACAGCAGACAGGAAACAAAATCGGGTCATTTGCACCTGAGCCTGATCTCTGCAAACCCCATGGGGCTGGAGAAAGTGCCTTGTTTGGTGACAAAAGGTTGGAGGGCGTGGCCCCAGGCAAGTCACTTCACCTGCTTCTTGCTGCTCTCATTTCTAGCTCTTACATTGAGGTGTGAACACCACAGTGTAAAGGGGAATACTGGGTGTGGCCCTTGGCAGGTCCTCAGGGGAGGTAGTGATCATCCCCCTGGCCCCATCTGCCTTCCCATGAGCCCAGTATGGCACTCAGTGGCGCCCCTCCAGCACACCAGGCAGCTGGCAGAACTATGATAGGGGCTGTCCCCCTCTCTTACCCCATCCTCCATTCCCAGACCTTGGGGGAGGAGTGCAGGGGGAGGGGCACAGGCACAAATCTTGCCTATTTTTGGAAGCTTGGTTTCCTCCCTTAGAATACATCCCCAACCCAGAAAAAGTTGGAAGCCGTCTTTGTTGGTCTAGAAGGGAAGAGGCTAGGTTAAAAATATGTATCAAATCCCAGAAACATTCTCCGTGAACACATGGGGATTCTGTGATAGGAATTCCTCAGAAACAAGAGGATAACATCCTTTAATTCTGAGCAGTTACGGTCCAAATTACTCTACTTTGAGCGGAACGGCTTGACCGTGAAATTTACTAAGGTGCTGTTCTAACCTCTTTTCGTTTTCTTCCGTCCCAGGCTCATTGGTGATACGGCTGGACCACCTGGGGAAGGCACCTCTCTCCTAAACACACACCTGTCTTCTCCACTTGGCCAAGGTCTGGAGGGAGCAGGGCCACTGGGTGTCCCTGAGCCAGGGTGGCCTGCAGTTTTCAGGAGCCCATCCTCCCCAAGCCAACACCCAGATCCCCGGTGTACCCAGACAATGAACAAACCCACATTCACTGCAGGCTGCTCTTTGAGGCCGTCTGGTGGGGCCCAGACTCCCGTGAGACTATCACTTCAAAAAGCGAGACAGTGCCTTTATTCACTGGGAAGAGATCTTGGGGCCACTACCCTAGATCAAGACAAGTCTGAAGTGCCCAAGAACTCCCTCTTCCTCTCCAACACAGGGAAGCAATACTCTGTTCCAGGAGCTGAGCAACCCAGGGCATGATGGGTCAATGGTAGTGACGGAGGGGGCATGGGTTGGGGGGGGTAGTTGTCACAGGCAGCTGTACAACCCTACTCTCTCTGCAGGGCCTGTTAGCCCAATTTTTACTCTGGAAAAATATCCCAGTAACAAAGGCACAGGCTGCTGGGGGCCCGAGGGTGGCACTGGAGAGCTGCGGGCTGACCAGACCAAGGCTGGGCCCTGCTCTTGTTCTCTCCCCCGACCCTGGGCACCCCGAGAAGTCTCTGCACTGAGCACAGAGCTCCAGGGGCATGCCTGGAGGCCCCCTTGGACCAGCCAGCTCTGCCTGGTACCCGAGCGCAGGACAAAACCAGGAGACGATGCTACAGAGACCTCGTTCCTGTGTGTCTGGAGCTGCACACATCTCCGTCCTTGCTGCCACCATCACCAGGTCCTGAAAGATGCCCCCCACTTCCCTGGGTGGCCGTCAGGACCCTCTGGAGCATGTTGTGGGAGAGGAAGAGTGCCAGCACGTTTGGGGTGCCCAAGGGGAGGCGGAAATCTGTTTGTCTGCCCAGCAGGACATGGCACGAGTCCCAGTTCTGTGAGCAGCTGAGACCCCGGCTCGTGTGATCCAGACTCCCAGCTGGCCCCTGAGGATGCAGCCCAGCCCCCCACCATGTCTCGGTGGGCCCCCGCTCACTGCAGGTGGGGAAGGCACGGGGCCATGGCGCAGGAGGGCGAGTGAGGGAAGCAGCACCAAAGGGGCTCGGATCCACCACCCACAGGCCACGAAGAGGAGCGGTCTCTGCCCAGGCCTCGGGCTGAGCTCCGGCCCTGCTCCGGGGCCTTCCTCGGTCCAGGTGGTGGCAGGAAGCCCTGATGAGAGAAAGCCCACTTCCGCCAGGGCTTGACTCCAAACACCCAGGCGCAGGCGGGGCAAGCTGACGCTGGACACCAAGACAGCCAGGAAGGCCCGTGGTGTGAAGACAGGGCATCTGAGGATGGCCATCTGGAGAACCACAGCGTGGGGACACACGGGCTGTGACTGGGGGAAGGGTGTCGAGAGCAGACGGAGACGGGCTGGGCAGTTCTGTAGATCCTTGTAGCCTCAGTCACGTGGGGGTTCAGGAGACGCGGGCTGGGCAGCAAAGGGACTGGCCCTGGGGCCCTAGCCACACACCTCGAGGCTTCACAGGACCCCACTCAGTCCTCTGCTTCCTGTTGGTGGCCTCCGGTCCCTCCCAGTTCCAGTGACAAGGGAAAGGTGCTGGGCCCTGCCCAACCCGGACAGAGGTACGAGGACATCAGGACGACGTGTGGTTCAGGGAAGAGGGCTTCTACCATCTCGTTTTATTTTGCGGGGACTGAGCCTAAAGTAACCAGAAAGAACAAGAGTCAAAGGGGACCCTACCGCCTGGGGGGGCCCAAGCTCCGTCTTCTACTAAAAACAGTGTCTGAGTCCCAGCAGGGCCAGTGCGATCTGACATAGAAGGGAAACTCTGGGAGAAATTTGTTTTTCTTCCGGCAACCTTTCTCTCCCTTCCAAAAGAGACATTTTTTTTCCCCTACGACCGGTGTCAGAAAATAGCTTCTGACTCGTTGGGGAGAAACATTCCCAAGCTCGGGAGGGGCGGGCTTGGCAGCCCCTTTCACAAAGCCCCGAGCCGGCGTCCAAGGGTCAGAGCGCGGCTGCTCATCCAAGCCCAGGCCTCTGGCTTGGTCCCAGGGTGGGCCTTGGAAGACAGAGCTCCAGAAAACCCGACCGGTGCTGGCCACCTCTAGAGGCTGTGTGGCCCTCAGTGGGTCTGTTTGGTTACCTGTGACAGGGGCCAGGAGAGGGACACCCCCGCCTTGCCTGTAAGGCCACGTCCAACCCTAAAATGGCACAATTCTGGGATTCTGACTCTGGAGAGAGGATCGAGGGCTGTCCTGTCCACCCTTCTTGGCAGCCAGGTTTAAAATGAGCTGATGTGGAAAGGCTTTGTTGATCATAAAGGACTCAGCCAGAGGACATGTTAATAACTGCCCAGGAATGAAACCAACCGGAACTGGCCAACCCTTTCCACCTTTGGAAACCCACTTTGTAAACAGGCACCGGGGCTTTCAGAGCCATCCGCTCCCACCGTGCTCAGCACAGCACGGTCTGAAGGCACAGGCCGGCTGCTCTGCACCGCATCCGCTGGAGCACATGAATGGCTGTCCCCGCCTAAGAGGGTCTGAAGCTGGTCCGCCTTCCCTTACATACACCCTCCGCAGAGCTGCCTGGTGGTGGTGGTGGGTTCGCCCTCCCCGCTCGGACCCCGTGCACGGCTGGGGGAGGGGGGTCCCCAAGGAAAGCTGCCTGATCTCAGCTAAGCCCAGATGCTGGACTAGACCCTGGACAGGCGCTGGGCCCGGAGTCCACTCTGACCGCACGCGACGCCACACGACACAACACACAGGCTCGGCTGAAAACTCCTTCCCTGTGGGCAGGTGTCAGCTCCTGAACTGCACGGAAGGAAAAAGCAGCAGCAGCCTTCACGAGAGCCGGATTCCGAGGGAGGCGGTGGCTCCTCAGGGACAGAGAGCCCGGGGTCAAAAATGACATTCCCAGAGGAAGGGCTCGTAAAGCAAAAACGTGTTTATTAGGCACCCTTGCTCCTCACAGAGGAGCAAGACCCAGGACAGACGCGCCTGAGAAATCTCTCGAGGTTGCAGGAATCTCTCCGAAGACTCCAGAAAATGTTTGCACTGACCGGCCACCACCCCAAGAACACGATCTGGCTGGAGCACGAAGCCTGGGCTGGCTCCTCAGCCCCACAGACACTGAGGAGTGGGGGAGGGGGGCCGGGGACACCCAAGCAGACACTGGCGGACAGGGATGGCCTTCCCAGCTCTAAGCCACTGAGGGGGCAGGGGCCACAGGAGAGCTCTGGGCTCCTCCCGCCGGGGCCCTCCCCAGATCTGCCTGCCTCCACCTGGCCGCCAACTCAGTCCCACACATAGGGGTTTCTAAAGACCTGGGAGTTCTTGCCGTCTCTCAGCGGGGTGGCTGCCTGGTGGCTCTGGGCGGCGTACATGTCCTCAGCCCTCAGGGTGGAGTTGGCACTGCCCGTCACCTGGCTGTTGGCGGTGGCTCGTGGGAGGATGACGTCATAAGATCCTTCGGACTGGAAGGAAGGACAGGAGGTCTCACAGCCCGCTTCCGCCAGGGCGCACAAACACTCTGCTTCCTGCAGGGCTGTGCCGGCCAGCTCCCCCCTTCCCTGCGCCCCCCGCCACTGCCCCCCAGCAGGGCCCCAGCGGCGGCATGGTATGGGGGACTCCACTCTGCAAACGGAGGGACTGGCCTCTGACCTGGAACCCCTGCCCTCACCCCACAGAGCGCCCGGCCTCGAGGCATGGGAAGAGGCCTCCGGTCACCTCTGATGGCCCCTGGGGCTTCGCTGTTTTCAGAAGGATCCATCCTCTTCTCGAGCCTCCTCCCTCCTGCTCCCAGTTCCTGGGGCAAGTCCTGGGGCCCAGTGCAGAGTGAACCGCACTGAGTGGCCACTACCTGCCCAGGAACTGCTCCCAGTCTCCCTTCTCCCCGAACTCTTCCCCGAACCCTCAAGTGGCAGTAGGTGACACCCAGTGGCATCAGAGTGGCAGGTCTGCCTGGCCGAGGACAGCCGGCAGGTCTTGTGCGTGCCCGTTTCTGATTTTGAAGCCTGAACAGGCTAGTCCAATGTGGAGACTTAAGGCCCAAATTCTCTGCCTGGAACCTGGCTAGAGCTGCAGGGGTCCGGCTCCTGTGTGGGCGAGAGACGGCTGTCAGGGGGAGGGGAGGGTCCAGAGGCACCCATCCCAACGCCTGCCCTGGAAGGAAGGTGAACTCCTAGCCTACCTGCCTTATCCCTAACCCCTGCTACTCCAGGGCCCCAAGCTGCCTTTGGTGGAATCAGACCCGGGAGGCCCTCCCACTAGTTTACAATCCCCAGCTGACGGGCCCCTGGAAACTCCCAGAACATCTAGGCGGGTGGGCCTCAAACCTGGGTGTGCCTCAGAATCACCTGGGCACTTGGTTGGGGCCCCCATCAAACCCAATCAGGCTTCACCAAGTGGGGGCCAGGTCAGTGTTTAAGTGGGGTGGGGAGCCCCCATCTGTAGTCTTCGCTCATCTCTCTGGGTGGTAACTCCCATCCCGGCAGACTCCAAGCTGTCACCATGATGCCACGAAGAGATGCTAACCATCAGCCATCGCACCCCTGGCTCCACGCCATTTGCATTTTCAGCAAGTTCCCAGGTGATGGTAATGCTGGGGTGGGGGGCCCTGGGGACCACGTTGTGAGAATCACCATGTCAGATAAAACATCCCTGTTCGCCCAGATCCCCAACCACCGGGGAAGCAGGACTCAGTGTGCCCGGGCGACTAAGAGGTGGCCAAGCTGGGACAGCTGCTGGAGGAAGGATCCTGGGGAGCTGAGGGTGGCGGGGAGTGGTTCACAGCCTGAGTGGCTGGGACCAGCAGACTCTGCTTCCGTCCTTCAGAGACTCCTTGCCTCAGCTCAGAGAAAGGGAAGGGGCTGGAGCTGGAGTTTCCGATATTCCTTGCACGCTGCACTGCCCTGGGGCTCACGGCATGGAGGGGGCTGAGAACACCACCGGCTGATCTCCCTGGCTTCCTGTTCCCAGCGTCTTGCCAAGGCAGGTCACTGACCTCTCCCCACAGTGACTGCCAGCCCAGGGGGAGGAACATATATGGAGTGAGTGAGACTCTAACCCGCTGTCTTCCTGTTCCCACCCCCCACTGGCTAATGGAGCATCTGGTTTCCAGAACCCAGGGGAGGTATGAGGTCGAGGGCTGCCGCCGCCTGCTTGTGGGGGGAAGGGAGCCAAGGCCCTCTTGGGACAGCTGTGGCTGAGAAGTACTTACCCAGACCTGTTTTCTGGTCCTCTGTGCCTTTGGGGGCACTAAGGAACGCCACCTCCCTACCTGGCTGAGACCTTCCTTTGTCCCTCCCTAAGCTCCTTAGGGTAACGCAGGCATCTCCCACCAGCTCAAGGAGGACTGTTCTGCCTTCTCTGCAGCCCGGGGCCAGGCCGGGGTCCTTGTGTGATGCCCAGGGACATAGGGCAGGTCCCCCTGCAGTGCCACTGAAGGCAGTGTATACATCAACTCCAGGAAAAGGGCATTAGGAGCCAAGGAGCTCCGCTCCCTGAAGCCGACGCACCAGAAGGAGAAGCCGGCCTTGTCCCCACCACCTCCCACCCCAGCCGGCACTGACCACTTGGCCTCTGCACCCTCACTACTGGCCGGCTCAGGCTGGGCGCCGCTGGGGCCACAGAGACGCTGGGACCCCACTCACCGGGCCTTTGTGCATCAGGGCCATCTCGGTGGGCTGGTACACGCTGGTCAGCAGCTGCCCGTTGTACCCACTGTATGGTGACACCGGTCTCTTAGCTGCAAAGAGACACAGGAGTGGTTTGGAGAGTGGACTCTCAGGCAGGGCTCCCCAGGGGCATGGAGAGCGAAGAGCGGCTCACCTTCCCTGGGATAACATCTGACCCAAGGGGGAAGCCTGGCCAGGGGTGGCCCACCTGGTGGTGCGGGTAGCTGCAGGCGTGGGGGCCCCTCTAGAGACCAGCATGCCTTTGTCAGGGGTCAAGAAGAGCATGCTGCTGCCTGCCTTCCGCTTGGGCTTTCCTGCACTGGGAGGACCCCCCCCCCCACCCGGCTTTCAGCAAAGAAAAATGCTCCTGTCAGCAACCTTCATATCCCCATCCGCCCTCCGGGGCCAGAGGCCAAGAGGGGCACATGGGCCTTCGGCTGCCTTCCAAGGTGGCCAGGCTCCAGCTTTGGCCTCCACCAACGCAGGCTAGCTGCCAGAGGCTAGGGTACACGGAGCAGACACCCCACGGGCTGGGACTCCTCATGTCATCCCAGGGCACAGCTGGCTGCTGATCCGCCAGGACCCCACAACCCAGAGCCCCACCAGGAGGACCGAATGTACACGCACCCTGTCCTGTGGCACCCTGGCGAGTTTCCAGAACTATTTTCAGCTCCAAGAATACCTCCCCCTGCCTTTGGGTATGTTGGTGTCCTGATCTGTTCTACCCTGCTGGGGTTCCCAGGGTGTCCGAGAAAAGCTGATGACCAACCCTTGGGGCCCGAGAGCAGGACAGGAGGAAGGATGTCTGTCTCCTGCAGGCTGCTAGCCGGCAGCTCCAAGGGACCACAGCTGTACAGGGCCAGCTTCCTAAGTGCCAGGCCCACTCAATTGATTTTTCCATTTAAACTAAAAAAGCAGGGGGCAGTGGGGGGGGGGAGGAAAAAAAAAACAGAAATGTTTGCCTTGAGAGGACAAAGGCTGAGTACTACGAGGGCCTCCTGGCCAGACCCAGGATGAGAGCAGACATGGGTGCCCAAGCCCCACCCCCACTCAATTGGTTCCACTCTGTATGCAGACCCGGGGCTACCCCAGTGGGCAGATCACAGATGAAGTGCCGGACAGGACAAAGGTCACTCCTTCCCCCAAAACAGAAATAATGGGGATCTCAGTTTGTAGAGAAGAGGCAAGGAGTTCTGCTTCTGGAACTTTCCCTGTCTCTGACTCAGCCCCCTGGCAGAGACTCCAGAGCTGGCGATGGACAGCCAAGCAGTTGAAGTCTTAAGCCCCCAAAACATCCCAATCAGACCAGTCTGGGGTTGGGGTCAGGGGGCTGTCCTGGTCTTTCTGTCCTCCAGTTCCCAGTCATGTCAGACAAAGAGTACTGTGGGCAGCTGGCTAAGGATAGCACACCACAGGACACATCAGGAAAGGCACAGCACGTGGCACATAGTAGGTGCTCAATAAATGCTAGTGGTCCTTACAGTTAACAAAATATCAGAGAAATACTCTTCTCTTTGGAAGCCAGGAGCTCAACTGGCAGCCAAGTGACCCAGAGAATGATCCCCCCTCCCCCTTCCCCCACCCCTGCCCGCCTGCTTCTCAAGCTGCTCCCAAGGCAGGGGCTTGGCACAGGCTTCAGAAGTTTCACCCATTCCCGCCTCTTCCAATTCCAGGACGCCCTCGGCCTGACCCCTCTGAGGCTGTACATCTGGCCGGTGCCCTTAGTGCTGGGCTCCAACAGGAAAGCCCCATCCCATTCACAACGAGCCAGGACAGGAGCTTGGGGACAAGCCAGGGGAGAGTGGGTGCTGCTGAGACCAGGATGTGGCCCAGTGTTTCTGTTAAAAAGAACAAAATCGGGGCACCTGGCTGGCTTAGTTGGTTAAGCGTCCAACGAACTCTTGATTTTGGCTCAGGTCATGATCTCAGGGTCGTGAGATCGAGGCCTGTGTGGGGCTCTGCGCTTAGCAGGGAGTCTGCTTCTCTCTTTCTCCCCCCATCTCCCTCTGTCCGTCCCATAGCTTGCGTGCGTGCTCTGGCGCACGCTCTCTAAAATACACAAATAAATCTTAAGAACAAAACAAAAAAAAAAACAAAGTCTTCACAGAGAAGACTTTCAAAGGAAACTAAGACTATGAATATGTACGTAATGGAAAAACAAGTCCGGGAAGGGTGGTTGTGATCATAGTAAAAGGAGAGGAATACAGACGGCTAATAGCTAATACGTCTAGAATAATTTCCAAGTGCCAGGCACAAGCATTAACTCAGTCTTCGCAAGAGCCTGATTTAACAGGAACCATTATCATCCCCATTTTACAGATGAGGAAACAGAGGCCCGTGTTGGTAAAATATCAGTCAGAGGTGGCCAAGGACAGGACAGGGAAGAACGGGGTAAAACTGGGGAGACAACCTGGGGAGGGGGGTCATCTGTAGTGTTTGAAATTTTCTAGTGAAAATATATTCATGAACCACAGGAGTAGGAAAAAAAAAAACAACCTTAAAAAATGGTATTTAGGGACTTTAAGGCAGAAAACTAGCGATAATTCGAGAACCTTCCATCTTGCTGAGGAGACCAGCTCCGACCATCCCGCCGTCCAGGATGTGGAACGATCGATGGGGGACGCAGGGACGGTATCCCTCTGCCTACCTGAGGCTGGCTCGTCCATGGAGAACGCTTTGTTCTCCACAAACATGCTCTGGCCCTTCTGCTCTTTCAGGATGGTCTCATAGCCCACGCCGCGGGTGGGGTACATGTCCCCCTGGTAGCTCTGCTCCGGGCTGGCCTTGGTCACCTGGGAGACCTCCGGGATGACGTAGAAGAGGACAAAGGCCCAGGCGTTGGCGGCGAGGGCGATGGCCAGCGTGGGGTCATCCCAGGTGGGGCTGTTGCGCTGCCGGTTGCCGTAGGTGTACATGACGATCCACACCACCCATATGGCCATGGACGTGGCCGTGGTGAGCAGCACAAAGACACCGTGCTTCCGCCAGCGCCGAAAGCGGCCGCACAGGGCTGGCCAGGCCCCGGTGAAGGCACACAGCAGGAGCAGCATGACATAGATGAGCGCCATGACGAAGTCCATGTTGGCAATGGCACAGGGGGAGGCTGCAGCCCAGGCCGCGCTGCCGTTGCCCTGAGGGCCACCCTCGCCGCCACCCCGGACCAGCGTAATGATCAGCCACTCGGTGTTGATGATCACCTCCACGAGCGTCAGCAGCAGGGCCACCGCGAAGATCACCCAGCCCCGCGGCCCGTGGTTCTTCCGGGCCAGAAAGTTGAGGGCAAAGACGTGTGCCACCAGGCAGGAGAAGCAGATGGAGAACAGGACTCCGAAGAGGAACCGCCGCGAGGCACAGGTGGAGAAGTCGGGCTTCACCACGCAGGCGAAGACGAGGCAGAAGAGGCCCAGGGTCCCCAGCAGGAAGAACACCTGGGTCCCCAGGAGGCTCCGCTTCTTGGTGTCCTGCACAAAGGGGAGGCTGGCCACGAGGATGATGGTGAGGACAAAAGTGGTGACGACTCCCGCCCCGGCCACCGCCTCCAAGATGATGCCCCAAACCCCAGAACGGTCACACAGGTTGTAGTAGAGGGGGTTGAGGTCTGGGCTGCAGCCAGGTGGCACGCGGTTCTGGGCCTGGGCACCTGCGGACAGGAAGAGAGGCAGCCCCAGGCACGTCAGCAAGGTTTTGGGGATGGCCATCCTGGCTCCCAGGCCAGGCGCCGGCTGGGTCCCTAGAGACAAGAGAGGGAAAAGGCAAAGTCAGTCCTCCAAGGCCAAACTCGGACACACAAGTCACTTGCTTCCCCCTATCCTGAACCAGGGCACACAGCAGGAGCAGATCACAAGGCTGTCCCCCAGGCTTCAGAATCCTTCTCGACACAGCACTCCTGGGAAGCATATCAGCTGACCAGAGAGGCAAATGAGATGAAGGCCATTTGTCATCTCTGTTCCTAGTCATGGAAAAGGCAGAACCTGTCCCTGAACTGTCAGGTTCCCTCCTCTCCTATCATAACCAGGATCCCAATACTCCCTAAGCTCCTGCGCTTGAGCTGAGGGTGACAGGGTTTGAGAGCAAGTCAAAACCAAGCCTATCACCCATTTTGCACTTTCTCTCTGCCCTGAGACTCCGTCTCTGTGATGCCCATGGCCATGGCCAACCCACCATGCGCTCATTCACACACCACGGACTTCTGAGCCCCCTGAAAGGCATGGCCTGCAGCCAGAGAAAATGAAGAGAGACAGTTCTCTAGGATTCCTCCCTACCACCTCCCTTCTGCCCTTCATTTGCCCACTTCCCACGTCAGCTCTCCTCTTCAGAACCCAGACTTCTTTGTCTAGCTTGGTTGCTGGAGTCAAGGATAAAATAATTTCTCGGCTAGGGAGTTAATGACTTCATGCAAAAATCCTCCTATGAGGCATTAACATTTTAAATCCAAGAATGGGGAAGGGCAATGCAAAGCCCAAAGGAACTTATTGTCACGGAGCACATTAAGGCATCGTAGCTAGAAGGCAAAAAAGAGATCTTTCATTCACACTAGGAAGGTACCCTGCTACTCTATGTACTACTCATTGGACCAGCCCCGACGTCAACAGCGGCTCTAGAGCGGCTGGTAAGCCGCAAACAAAATGGAACCCCTGCCCTCAACACCAGCTGGGCTAGCCCTCTGTGGATTGGGAGGTGACCAATGTGGCAGGTTGGGTGCCTGGGTGGCTCAGTTGTTAAGCATCTGCCTTCAGCTCGGGTCATGATCCCAGGATCCTGGCACCGAGTCCCACGTCGGGGTCCCCCCGCTCAACAGGAAGCCTCCCTCTCCCTCTCCCACTCCCCCTGCTTGTGTTCCCGCTCTGTCAAATAAATAAATAAAAATCTTAAAAAAAAAAAGAATGTGGCAGGTTAAGAGAAATTAAATATCTAATCAGTGAAAGATTTTAAATTTACTTGGAGAACAGAGAATCCTGATGTTCTAAACAGCCAAGTTCAAAAATACTGCAAAATGCAGATATGCACATTAAATCACCCCTTACGTTCAAGTAAATAGTTAAAAAACCCTCTTCCTCTCTCTCCCTTCTTGGGTCCCCAGAACTCCCCAGAAAGATGGCAACCAAGTGGGATGCCTGGGTGGCTCAGTCGGTTAGGTGGCTGCCTTTGGCTTGGGTCAATGGTCATGGTCATCCCAGCATCCTGGGATCAAGCCCACATCAGGCTCCTTGTTCTGCGGGGAGCCTGCTTCTCCCTCTGCCTGCCACTCTGCCTGCCTGTACTCTCTCTGTCTATCTGACAAATAAATAGATAAAATCTTTTAAAAAAGAAAAAAAAAAAAGGCAACCAAGCTTCCCAGGACGATAGTGACCACTAGTGGCTCGCAAGGGAATGGCATGATCCAACTCTTCCCACCTCCTTCCTTCCTCCTTCGCGGGTGGTGATACAGTCTACCCCCTTATCACCATTCCTAGTTACCTAATTTCTAACAGGTGAACAAAAGTCCTAAATCTCAGTCAACAGAAACTGTCTCTCTGTCACTGATAAGTGGAAGAGTACGTGTTACTGGATGAGGGAAAATAAAGCTCAAAAATTAAATGAATCTACATAATAAAGATCATCAATTTTCAAAGTCCTTTAACATATCCCACAGGCCCAAGGCACCCCCTGAAAACACTGTAGGTATCTCGACCTTCTCAGCTACTTCATTTTTTTCTTTTTCTTTAAGATTTCTATTTATTTGGCAGAGAGAGCAAGAGAGAGCACAAGTAGGGGGAGCGGGAGGGAGAGGGAGAAGCAGGCCCCCCACGGGGCAGAGAGCCAGATGTGGGGCTCCATCCTGGGACCCTGGGATCATGACCTGAGATGAAGGGAGGCGCTTAACTGAGTCACCCAGACACACTTGGGTCCTTCATTTTTCAGTTAGGCTGGCTCCTCCCCACCCCCATGCTACCTATCATTAACTCTTAATAAGCTAACATCTTTACTGTGTTTCCAAATAACTGCATGGTCAGAGCTCAGTTCTAACGCAAAAGCACGTTTCCCCTGCATCGAGATTTACATCAGCTTTCGTAGGGGACTCTGTGTAATCGTAAATCAATAAAGCATAAACTGTGTTTACAAGTGCTGGAAAGAAAGAAGGGTCGATGATTGATGCATAAGGAGGAACAACGAACCACTCCAGGGAGAGAGGTGATTTGCAGATTCCGTGCTAGGGTTTCCTAAGCATTCAACCCCATCTTGGGTGTTTGGGGCTCACAGCAAAGCAGCCAGAACTTGTGGTGGAGTTGGAGATGTGGCAGTGTGCCCTGAGAAAGGCCACCCTGACTTAGCCCCCAGGTATCTGCATATTTTCCAGTACTTTACCCCCTCCCAGCTCCGGGTGCCAGTTTAGAAACAGGCACCGATTCCCAATCAGAAAATATCTACTGTGCGTTTGCGGGGGACAAAGGTCAGTCGTTCTCCGAGCTCTGGGAAACGAAGATGAACAAATACAGTCCCTGACTGGACGGTTTGTTTGTTTTCATTTTGTTTTTCCTCCATGACTTGATGGTTTTTAAAATCCAGTATGAGAGATAAGGTAGGTGTGTGAGAAAATGGTTAAGTACCACACAACAGAATTTGCCTCTGGGGGAGGGAAAGGTGCTCCAAGAACACCCAGGTGGAAGCTTTTCCAACTAAGGGGTCAGAAAAGGCCAAATAGAGAAGACCGTTCAACAGCATTTTATTCGGTATTGTATCAAGTATGAACCAAGTTTGTAAGGGGAGACACAGACTAGAAATGCTACAGGGAGGGAGTTTGGGGCATCATTCTAAAGGCAATGGGGAACCATCAAAAGCTGTGTTTTGCACAAACGTGGAATAACCAGGGTTGTGCTTTAAGATCTCAATCTGGCCAAATGCACAGGCCATCAATTTGTTGAGGACACATTCACCCGTTTAAAGATCGAGGCCAAAGGTAAAGCCATAACGGCCAGACCTGAGAGATCATTTCCCAAATAAAATCTAAGGACTGGATGAAGGAGGGGAAAAGGATACCAAAGCCCATTCCACAAGTTCAAATCTGGTTAACAGCCACATCATGATGAAGGGGAAAACAACAACAACAACAACAAGCTAGGTCCCATTTAGCTCTGCAACCCTTCTGGTCACTTACTCTTCTCAATCCATCTTGCTCTTAGAAGTACACACCTTTACCCAGCATCCAGCAACCTCACAGCTCTCTGCCCCACCAAAGTGGGGAGCGGAAAGAGGAAACTCTTCCTGCGCCTCCTCCTCCCGCCCGGTACCCTGCTTGCTCAGAGGCCCTGAAACTTACCAGCCCCAGATGAAACAAACCATTCCCACCCCACAGAACCCATTTCTCTATTCCCCCCCCCCGAACACCCAAGGGCCAGTATGGAGACAAGAATACACCTACTCGAGCCTAGGACAGTGATCCATGGAGGCCAACAGACTTAGAGAAGGAGGCTCAGAAGAGTTCTGCACGGGTCCTTTGACCTCCAGGAACACAGATTCAAACAGTCAACCCATGCCACTTTTTACATGATGGCAGGGGCAAAAGGGAAAAGCACTGCAAAGAGATGGACCCAGCTCTGCGAAGAGGCTCTCCCTCCTGCGGGTCCCTAAAGCCTGCACTTCCTGGTTGTCTTCTGGGCCTGGATGGCTCTTCTACGCAAGGGCCTCCCCTACCAGGCTGGAAGGTGTGTGAGGGCAGTGAACAAGCCATGTGTATCTTAGCATCCCTGCAAACATCAGAGCTGCACCTTAAACAGAGTAGACATTTAAAAAGCATTCGCGGGGCGCCTGGGTGGCTCAGTGGGCTAAAGCCTCTGCCTTCGGCTCAGGTCATGATCCCAGGGTCCTGGGATCAAGCCCCCATCGGGCTCTCTGCTCAATGGGGAACCTGCTTAACCTCTCTCTCTCTGCCTGCCTCTCTGCCTGCTAATGATCTCTGTCTATCAAATAAATAAATAAAAATCTTAAAAAAATAAAATAAAATAAAAAATAAAAAGCATTCGCAGAACAGACTCAGTGCCCGCTTCTCCCTGGCCTTCTTCAGTCTGGAGTCACATCTTCTGCTTCAAGGTTCTCAGTGGGACCAAGGAGGGGAGTGGGTGCGGGACCTCCTCCTGCCCCACGAATTTCTCCCTCTCCACCGCAGCAGCACAGCCCAGTCTCGGATTATTTCCTGGACAAAGGGGCCCTTTTGCTTCACCTCCCTGGAATCAGTCATACAAATATTTTTAATCACCTCTGAAATCAGCCTCTCCGCAGCTCAGCCACTCAGCCTCCAGCTCTGGTCTGAGTCAGCCCAATCTAGTTCCTGAATCCCCTTCCTCCCAGTTTCTCTCTCCCAGGGGAGCAGAGAGGCCTCAGCAGGGGGTGGGTTCAGAGGCCCAGCGGGCCCTGACTGGCTTGATCAGAGGCACTCAGACCCACTCACCTTTCCAGAACAACCCCCACTTCAAACCCGCCATTCACACCAGAACCTGAGAACCTCTAGGGCATAGGAGACCATCCCAAAGAAGGTACTAAGGGCTTCACAACACCACCCTGTTCTGGATCTCCCAGGCTCAAGGACAGAGTAAGACATAGACAGGCAACCTGTGGTTACATTTAAGGTGCCGTGACCCCCAACAGCCCCCTCTCAAAGGCACCTAGGCTCACCCAGGGACACCACGGAGCATCCTCCTTCCTCATCTGCCAGCACTCAGCAGCCTATCAGGATAGATGGATGGACCCAGCAACAGCCCTCCCATCTCCTTCCCTTCTCCCCAATCCCACCTCCTCTCCCTGAAGTTCTATCATCTTACTCCTGTCCAGAGGGCTCTGGAGACTAAACCCATGGATAAAAGGGATCAGAGATGCCCTGCTAGGAGGTACTGAGGTACCCAGGCTGGGGAGGGAGAGGCTTCTGAAAACCTCAGCCTAGACCTCCACATTAAGTGGACCTTTGGGCTAAAATTTCCTGAGCATTCTGAAACGTGGAAGTCTTCAATCCAAGGGTCTGCTGTGGAATGCCACTCTGGAATGCGCCCCGCACCCCCCCAAACACACACATAGGAAGACAAGTTGGGGACCTCCAAGAGCCCAGAACCCTATTTTGACACATTCTGATCCCTGTGCTGTAGGACCAAGATCGTGCAGCTCTGAAATGATCAGCTTTTCTGGGGTGTAAAACTGCGGGCTTGAGGATGGAGGGACCCTACCCAACCCCAGCGGCTGCAAGCCTCCCCCCTCCCTGAAAAGCCCTAGCAGGTAGGAGAGGGGAGGGGAGCAGGGATCTAGGAGCCAAGCTGCCAGAAATAGGGGCTCCTTAATGATCTGATTCCAAACTTTCTATAAGATTCTGAGAATTTCCCTCCTCACTCCTGCGGTCTGCACCGGCGCTCCCCCAGCCTGGGGAGCAGGGACCCATCCTATTTCCCGCATTCCCTTAGGCCACAGAAACCTGCTCTCCCCATCCCCGGGCACCGGAGAGGAGGCCGCCCCACCAGTCAGTGCTGACCGTGGACTCACGCAAAGGGCCGCGGGAGTGGAGGGGGCAGCGACTGTGGAGTTCGGGACAGCCCGGGGCTTCCCCCACCCCTGGTCCCCAGCCTGCGCCGGTTTGGAAAGTTTCTGTGACCGAGCGGAGTTGGCGCAGCGTCCCCCGCGCCCCGGTCTTCCACCCTCGGGCTTCTGCCCTCGCCCACGGCCCGCCGGCCCGACCGGGCTCTTCCGGGCAGCGGAGCAGAGGGCGGAGCGGGAAGGCAGCAGCCCTTACCTGGGACGCGCCGCCCGCCGCGCGCCGCTCGGCGTTTGGGGCCACCTCCAGCCCCAAGCGGAGCGCGAGTGGGGTGAGAGGGGCTCGGCGGAGGGAGCGGAGCCAGACGCAGCCCCGGCCTGGGGTGGCGGGGCCCCGGCGGGGGCTCGGGGCGCAGGGCCTGCCTCTCCCGGGAACCGGGGCTGGGCCGGCCGCACTCGGTCGCTCCTTCTGGCGCTGGCCTCTCCCCGCACTCCGCTCCTTTCTCTGGGAGAGGGTGGGCCGGCGCCTGCATCACCGTGACATCACCTCCATTCAGGCGCTTATCGCGCGGCCGCGGCGCTCCAGGTATGTGCAATCCGTTTGCACAGCAACAAAGCCCGCCGGGCCCTCCCCCCGCCGACTCACCTCCAGGCTCCGGCGAGGCGCACTTTCCGGCCGGGGAGGGAGCTCGGAGTTACTGGCGGAGCTGGCCTGAGTGTTGTTGCTGTCTACTGCCACGCCCCCGCACGCGGGCGCGCGCACTCACGCGCACTCACGCGCACTCACTTTCAGGATTCGGCTTTCCCTCCGGAAAGCTGTTTGGGGTGCAACCCAGCACACCTCTCCGGCGGGCTCTCTCGCCCCGCATGTCCCAGCGCGCGCACACACGAACACGCGCGGCGGCCCCCTTGGTGCGTCTCACCGAGCCTTCGTCACCTTCGTCCTGGCCCTTCCGTGAGGGACACACGCCGGGCACAGTTCGCTGCTCTGGGCTAGAGCGAGGCGCACACTCGGACACAAAGTCCGTCTTTGTCACGTCTTCTGTGCCCCCTCCCCGAGCTTGCACACGTGGACACACCACCCACCGACTGTCCGCCTCTAATACACTCGGCCTTTCTCTGGCACCTGGGTCACCAAACATGCATGGGGGTGCGGAGGGCGCACAGCGAGCGTCCCTATCGCCGTGGGCGGTGCGGGGATCCACTCGGACCCGTGAACAAACGTCACCCCGGGCCTGACTCCCCTGCTCCTGGATTTCCTGCGACCGCCCCAGACACGGTCCAACTCTGAGCAAGCGCTCCCCTCCCCGCGTCCCCGTTCCCTGTTCCGACTTGTCCTAATTAGCCTTCACGGTCAAGTTCCCCGAGGTACAGTGTTTAACCCGGCCCCCGCGGTCCCTGCCCTCAGGGACGCATCGGCCCTAACTCCGAGTCCAGCTCTCTAGCCGCCCGCGGACTTTTCCACGAGTTCTAGTACCCTCCGCCCCACCCCCACTCTCTGCCCCGGGGTGGATCCGCCGGTTACCACCCTTTCCCCTCCAGCCCCAGGAATCAGCAGAAAGGGAACCGCAAAACTGGGGAAGCGAATCCAGTCTGGGACGTCCCCGGCCCAGTAAACAAGAGGAGATTTTTCCGGCCGCCTTCCCCTGGGGCTGGCGGGCTCTGCGGGAGGTGGGCAGCGCAGTCCGGGGGCGCCCAGCGGGGCCTAGTTAGCAAGCGCGAGAGGCCCAGAGGGGCTGCGGCGCACTGGGAAGGGAAAGGTTGTTGGGTCTGGCCGGGACCCAGGGGATGCGGAGGGAGGGCAGGGCGCCGGGTCTCCGGGGTGCTGGTTCTCGTGACGCCGAGTTGCCTGGGGGATCGCCAGCAGCGCGCGGTGGGAGCCAGCCGGTGGCGGGGCGGGTGACGGGGCGTGTTTGCACAGCCCGGAGCGCCCTCGGGAGGGGAGGCGGCTGGTCCCGGGTTCGGAGGAGGGTGGCAAGGTTGGGGGTAGGGCGCGGGGAAAGGGGAGGGGTACCTCCAGGGCTGTTTGTGTGCCCCAATCTACGACAAGCAGGAGTCAAACTCAATGAATCACCAGGAGCTGCCGGAGCGATAAACCCCAGGCCTGCCCCTCCCCTCGCGCACCGGCTTCTCGGAGTCCAGGAGGGATTGTTTGCTTAGCGGCCGGGGCCGGCGGTGGGGCCCTGTGTTTTCTAGAACCTGCCTCCCTCCCTGCGCCTTGCCGTCGCTTGCAAGTCTGGGAATCACTGAATTGTTTCCGTTCTTTTTAAATATTAAGAGGAACAGCGCGTTTCTGGTGCAAAGTTGTGCCTTACTCTACGTCCCCCTCCCCTAAGTCCACTCCCGCCCCGACGTCTTCCCGACCCTCCCATGAGGGTGTGCAGGCAGGTGCCCGCGCTGGGAAGGCAAGCCCCAAGCGAGCCGGTAAGTCCCTCTGGCCTCCGACTCGTGGCTCTCATCAACTAGGCAAGTATTGAAATCAGTTTGCAGGGAGGGTCGCTCATTAGCATATGCGAAAAGCCAATTCTGAGAGTCAGGGATGGGTGTAGGGGAAATGGTCCGGGAGCAGAAGCATTCTGGATCCAACCCATCTTCTCTGGCTTCTGGAACTCCTTCAGGTACAGAGGACTCTCCCAAGAGGCAAGTTCTCCCCTGTCAGTCCCTGCCCAGGCAGGGGTAAGGTTTGGGTATGGGGCTCCTGGCCACCCACTGGCAGTGGGTGAAGAGGCAAGTCAGCCTGCGCAGTAGGCACCCTTGGAAATGTGGGGCAGCTTTCCGAGAAAGGTTTGCTGGGTCCCTTTTCACCCTGTCTCACCCTGGAACAGGATCTGCCTTCAAAACAAAGCAAGGCCCACGGGGCAGATGACCTGCCCGTTTCAGCCTCCAGGATCCCTGGTGCCCTCTGGTTTAGTCCCTCGGGCAGGGCCCAGCTGGGTGTGGGATGGTGGGACTGGAGGTCCAGATCATGAGAACCCCATCCCACTCCAGCCCCGTGAGTCCCCCCGTGGGGGTGAAGGGTGCTGCTGGACACAGGCAGCCTGCGTTGGCCAGAAGGGAAGTTCTGTGAGAGGTGTGGTGTTTTCCAGAACTCCAGGTATAGGGTTGTCTGTGCCCCCAAATGCCATTCACCCAGTTTAATGACCTATAGGCATAGGAGCCTTTATGAACTCCCATTTTCACCAAAAAATAACACTTTGTGAAGTCATCCTCTATGGATACTGCGCCCCCCACCCCCGTTCAGAGAGATCCTGGATTAATGGATTGTCGGGGAGTGTCTGGCTCCCTCCCTCCCCTTATATATGGCGCTTGGGTTCCTCCTTCCATCCATCCCAGCCTTTCTTCAATGAGCTGCAGTATGCCAAGGAACTGACAGGGCCCAGGGGTCAGGAGCAGCTCTGCTACCAGCCAGCTGTGACCTGGACAGGTCACTGCACCTCCCTGGGCCCCACTATCCTCTCCTGTACAATGGGCTGATAACCTCAGCTTTATGGCTCACCAAAACATCCAGATGAACCCGAGTCTGGAGTGTTCCTCACACAAGTCTGCCCCTCACAGGTGCCCAGTGGTCAGCCTCTCCATTCCTGGTGCATCCCCTCAAAATCTTAGTCCTGTCTACTCTTGTAGAAGCTGCTTCTCTGACCTTCTTTCAATTCTGTTTTATCAGAACAGCCTATCACACTATGCTCTGGGACTTCCCCTCTGCTGTTCCTTCTTCCTCCTACATCCTCTACCTTCTACCTCCCTCCGTTTTCGTACCAAAATTTTTACAGAATCAGCCCTGCCTCAAAGCTCAGCCCCAGTGTCCCTCTGTGAAGCTTTCCTCACCTTCCCCAGAAAGAACTATTGGACTTGCTTTACCCACAGCTTTTTATGGGTTTGTTTACTTATCATATCCCAGTGTATCTTCATCAGTCCTGTTCACTGTTGTCTCCCCAATCGGACTGTGCCGTTCTCAAGAGGGGGACATGGCTCACGCATCTTGTGGTCCCCGGCATCCGGCACAGAGCCGATCACGTGGTGGCTCCACTGTTCTGTGGTTAGGCCGGTGGCAGTAAGAGTAGCAGAGGGGTGCAGCCCCTGGAGAATGCTCTGCCACTGACCTTCACTCCCACCACGGGCCTTGCAACCTTGCAACCTTGCAAGCCTTGGGCACCTGCCCCACCGCCCACCACACCTGCCCCGCACACGGCCCGGAGACCTTCCTGGGAAGCCGACAACCCCCAGTGCCTTTCAGAGAAGTCCACTGCCCCTGGACCAACAATGCCCTCCATTCAGAGCCCAGGTAGAGGAACTTGGCCAGCTGGCTTGGGGCACGGGGGTCAGGAGGCTAAAGGTCAGTTTTGCTCCCTAGAGGGACTGCCTTTTGCCTGGGTAGCGGGAGTCCCGCATTGCAGTTTCAGCTGGTGGCGTCACTCTCAGGAGCCATTACCTTCTCTGGGGAGGGGGAGGGCTGCCCCCTCACCCCCACAGGGGTTGAGTGCCCTTGATCTTGGGGCCTGGCTGCAGTGAAGCGAGAACAGTCCCTCCTGGAGCTGAGGGTGAGGGCTCTTGGCTCCCTGACAGGTAGGTACCTGGAATCCTGTGCCAGGCGGCTGAGGGCCCCACCACTGGCTGGTAAACAGATTTTGCATTTGACTTTTCCTTGCTCCTAGGCTCCATAATAACTAAATACTACCCAGCCTACAGTGTCCGGCTATGCCTTTTTTCTCTTGTTGGAGGACAATAGGACTGACGCTGAGACCGATAGGTACCCACTGGTTTTTGTTTTTTAAGGACTCGGGTCCCTAGGTGGCACCTTAAGAAGCAAGAAGCCAGGGGTCTGGGAGCGAGCAAGTTAAACACTAATTCACCACAACTGGCTGCCCATGGGTGATCCGTCTGGAAATGGACCCGGAAGCAGGCCTTGGGCAGAGCCTGCTGGAATGTCGCCTGCTACCAAGCCCATCCACAGTGGGCACAAATCTGTTCTCCCGCCCCCGCCCCCGTCCATGGCTCAGTGGCCCCTAATCAACTCCCTGTGGAGGAGAGAACTGGATTTTCTGAGCTGCCCAGGTCTGGAGAGTGTCCATCAGTGCATAGTGGATCTAGGAACCAGGGTCAAAGCAGATGGTCCAAGGAGTCGGGCCCCTCCACCATCTCACCCCTTCCAAAAACGAGAAAGAAATGTATACACGATGCTGTGTCTAGTTCCCCCTTACCTTCAGGGGAGGGAGGATCTCACCCCCATCTAAGAACATTTCAGGGATGGGGTACCCTTTACCTCACTCCAGCAGCCACATGGCCCCAAACTGATGACCTCACTTACAGTCTTCCTCTCACCCCCCAGCACTCCAGTCACCCTGCAAACCCCCATCCATCAGGGGGGCATTCCCTGATTTCACCCCTGTCTCATGGGCTCCCACCGCCTTGAAGGGAAAGACTAAGCTTGCTCGCTCAGCATTCAAGATCTCCACAGCCAGCTCTCGACCCTGGGCGCCAGCCTCACCCCCCTCCTCTTCCCTACAGGAAATGGCCACTCCAGCCTGAGAGGTCAGCTCCCAGTTTGGCCACTGGACTTGCCTTCCTGTGGCTTTGCTCACACTGCCCCCAACTCTCAGTCCGGGAAGCCCCCTCGGGGCCTCTCTGATCCAGTCCCCTTGGAAAGTCCTGTGCTCCTCCCAGGATTTTTCGCTGGTGACCCCATCCCACAGTCATCCTCCCTCTGCTCTCCTAGAGCTCCCCTTCTAAGGCAAATTTGCTAGCCTAGCAATGCTCTGTGTCATTACTTATACCTTATGCACAAATATCTTGATTCTCTAATTGCTGATAGGCTTGATGGGGACTGGACTCAGATTTCACGTCTATCCTTCCTCGCAGTTCCTAGGATAGTGCTTTATACACACTAAAAAAAAAAAAAAAAAAAAAAAAAAAAAGGCAATAAATATCAGCAGAATAGTGGACTGACCGGCTAGGAACTGAGCAAGGCAGCCTTCTTGAAGGGGGAGGGCAGGCTCAGGGTCTAGCCTTGGCCTTGCTGCGGTCATGAACCCCCTACTTAGATCCCTGGCTCCCTCTGGCTCCCAGAAGTCCAGGCCAGGAAGTTCAGAGAGATGCTAGCTGGTCTGACAATGCAGTCCTCATCATAGCTTGTCTTTGTGTAGTGCTGTACAATTTTCAAGTGTCTTTTATACATA